AAATACTTATAAACGTATAATAATATAATATAATAATATAAATTAAATAAATAAATTAATTATAATAATTAATTATAATAATTAACGTTAACCCTTTAATATTTAATTATATTTATAATAAGTCTTAAGTTTTTAAAGTATAAAATAAGTTATATAAGTCTTATTTAAGTACTTAAAAATACCTAATATTTTTAATAAATAATTATAGGTAACTTATTTTCCCCTATAGATCTATTTAGGTCTTTTTTTCCTACCCATACCTACCCAAAGCCCACGGGTAAGCAACCCACACGGGTACCCGTGGACCTTTTACACCCTATTGTCGAGTGTGCTGGAGTTGATTGGACGGCTAGATGATGCTGTCGGGGGCGATTGGAGTGATGTAGCAAGCTCTCTCTGCGAGGCTAAATTCAATTAGTCGCCTTTTCCTTTTATTTGCTGACACCACCGCCGAGAACGGTTGGTCGACAGAGTGAGTGACGATGGAGCGTCACTGCGCATCAAGAGTCGAGACGGTGGACATGAGGGTCGCACAGCCAAGTCCTCCTTTACATGAATATTGATTCGTATTTGCCCTCCGACCAAATCTGCCCAAGCATATTTGTGTTTTTCATTTGTCCATCCAGGCAAGAATAATACGCTCCTCGTGGTCTTGGTCGACGTGCTTGTGCGAGTTGACCATCGCTGTCAATCACGTGGCTTGGACAACTTGGCATTTGAACCATTGAGCAGCTCAGGAGTCGCCGTGTTGCACGTGCTCTGGCCGCTCTGCTTCGCCAACGTCGGGGAAATGCTTCGCCCGAACGCACTGAAGACTCGAAAGTCACACTGACTCGGATCCATCCTTCGCCTGGCGTTTACGTTGAAACCGACATCGACATCATTGTCATCCATGGCCTCGACACGGGGTCGCCAGGCACATGGACTTAGAAGTCCAACAGACCTGACCGCCATGATGTGAGCTGGCTGGCCGACAAAGAAATTCTCCCGAGCAGAGTTGGACAAGCTCGAATCTTGACATGCGACTGGCCAGCCGAGCTGTTTGAGAGGTCCGACCTCATCCGAAAGAGGATTGAGGAGTTGGCTCAGCTCTTGCTAGATGGCATTAAAAGACGGCCCTCGGTGACGAATATCCCCACAAGAACGGGGGACCGGCCCATCGTCTTTATCGCGTCATGCCTTGGCGCGGGAGAGCTACTCACGCTATAATATTTCTTGTAACGCCCTTCTGAGGCACTTCGTTCCAGGATGTTGCCAGCTAGGCAGAGTCATGTCTGAAAGCCTGGGCTTGGACAGAGGTCAAAAAGTGACCAAAAGGCTCGATGGCAGGAAAGGAACGACCTTCGATCTAGTCAAACTCGTAGTTGATTTCACTCGGCTGTGTCGAGACGATGGTCTCGACCGAGTAATGACTTTTTACGAATTAGGCAACACGAATCTCTACCATAAAATATTCCCGCGCCTTTCAGTCGGATCAAAGCGGGTAGGCGTAACCAAATTGCCTGTCTGTTTTGAGACCCCCTTGTCCCCCTTTTATGCATCGAGTGCGAGGTGAACATTACTAACGTGCACTCGCCAGCTGGTCGATGAATCCTCCGCCATCCTTGACATAGTTCTAAATCCTTTGCCTCTCGATCGGCCTCGCGTACAATGAACAAATTCCAGGGCAAAGACGATCCGGAGTATTGAAAGATTGTGGGAAGGATTGAGGTATTTTTTGAGGGATTCCCGAGGGGACGGTGCTCAATAGAGCAGATGCCTAGATCCGTAACAGATGCTACTCTGCGGACAGGCTCCGGATTCGCCGACTCTCAGACAAAGAGTTGCCGATGGAGCAGTGTACATCAACCTCGCTATTATCGAGCAGCAGCTTGGTCGAGTCCCCGACAGCTCAGGATACCAGTCGAATAAAGCAGATTCTGCGAGAAAGTCCAACCCGTTTTCAATTCTCAGTCGTCAGAAGGTTCAGATACCGGACGAGTCGATCCAGATCGAGTTGTCGACATTTTTCAACGAAGGCGACGGACGCGATCATCGCGTGATACAACCTCGCCGAATGCTAATGCGAGCACGTGCGGGAGTTGGAAAGACTACCTTGTGCAAACAGATGGTTTATGACTTTACCCAAAAAAACAAAGTTGCACCGCTCATGGACGCAGTGGTTCGACCGCTTACTCTGGATGCCTCTGCGTAATCTAAAAAAGCGGCCAGGTCAGGGATACAACCTTGGTCTTTTATTCCGCGATGAATATTTCCGTCATTACCTAGGAAGGGACCATCTTACTAGGGACGATCTCGCTGCAGAGCTGAGCCGAAAAGTGGACGACTTTAACAGTGAGAAAACCCTGTTTATCCTTGATGGCTTGGATGATGTAATCTAGCTCCACGCCTCTAGCGGCGAAATGTCCGATTTTCTCACTATGCTTTGAATAAGCCTAATGAACACAAGCCTTCCAGCTATCAAGCCCTTTGATCTCGAATTAGAAATGATCGGATTCTACCCCGACCACGTGAGAGACTATATCGAGAAATTATTTATCAACCCAGAGACAAAGGATATAGCCCTGAATAAAGTCAAGAATGTTCCGTCTTTTCTTCAAAATCATTGGCTTGTCCAAGATCTTGTGCACATTCCAATTCTACTAGATGCGCTCTGTTACACCTGGGTTGACCACAAATCTGGAAATATACCGGATACTATGACCGGTATTTATGGATTAGTTGAGCTGAAGCTATGGAAGAAAGATATCTTGCGATTATCGAAACGACACGACGGCGCTCAGTTCACCAGCTTCAACTTCAAGGGCGCCCAGACCAACCATTGAAGAATTCGTTAGGAAGAGATGGATTTACTTGAAAGCCTTGCATTCACTGGAATACACAATAATATCATAGACTTTTCTTTGCAACATATACATGGCATATCGCATTACTTTTCTCCAGGATTTTTACCTGATAGGACAGCTAAAGGAATATTTAGAACCGGAACCTACGAGAATGGATATCAAGGCCCTCGTAACTCTAATTCAATCTAAAGATTATGATTATCGAATTGCCGCATCCGCAGCCTTATACGGCTCATCTAATTCATTAGACGCGGCTATCGAGGCTATCATAAAAGCACTGTTTCAGTGCCATCACCACTGGCCCCTCATTTCCATTCCCAAAGACTTTAGCAGCAGGTCGAATTTCTCAAACGCGGTTATCGAGACCCTAATAACGTTCCTTTAGGCAGAGGAGTGGAGGGTCCAATCTAAGTTAGTTCGAGCCTTGGGCACGCACCCGAACATATTAGATAAGATCCTCAAGACTATAGGCTTATTCTTGGAAACCGAACTACCAGCTAAGGCAATAAGCAGAATCTTTCGCCATCCCCCATTTCTGAAATCCTTATATAACGTTTTATTGTGTAAGGGTTTTCTGTCAGTTTAGTCTATATCTTCGAAGTGATGGCGGCAATTGCTCCTGCATTTTCAATCAACCTGCTGGACTCCCAACAGCGTCTTTTAAAGACAGTGGTGCGGTCGACCAGTTCCACACCTTCCTTAGTGATGGCCGGAAATTTTGAAATATCCATGGCTACAAGCTATGGGACAGTTTTGGGGGCAATGCTAGTCAATAACTGCTCTACACATCTGGAGACGCAATGTTCTGTGTTCATCTCTAATAAGTGGCAAGTGAGTTGGCATTAGGATTAGAGGATGATTCTCTGGGTTGTCTTGCAAAACCCAATAGTTACAGCACTCCCTACTACATGTCCTTTTCTTATCTAGTTTTAAAACTCTATGATGTGGAGGTTATAAGAGTGCAGGCTAGGTTACGAGTCACGCGTGTGGTGATCATGGTCCCATTTGGCCGACTCCATCCCCAGTGAATGGCAACTATTGGGCTAGTGTGATGGAGGGCTATGTTGAAAAGTTACCAGTCTGATTTTCGTAGTCAGGAGCAGGATTACAGTGGTGAGATTTCGTTCTCGGTCGCTCCTTGAGAAACATTCCACTCCACCAAAGCCCGTACTTTCAAGCTGTTTGTCAAGTGTTTGTCCCTTTTATTTTGTACATACTTAATATCTTTGCCAGTTCCGCGACCCCTTCTTAAATCAATTAAAGTGTAAATTCATGTGACACTGATAGTCATATGAAGAGATTTCCCTCGAACTGCCGTGACATCCCAGTTTACTCTTGTGAGAAGATACGCGGACTTGGGGTTGTAATCCTTGATTCCTGTCCATGCCTTCGCCCTCCGAGAGTCTCAACTCATTACAAAGCCTGCTCAAGAAAGGCAAGACGCGCATCTGGCTTTGGACCAACAATGTGGTCCACCGTCCCGCCATGTTAAAAACGTATAAATGTCGGCATAGCTTGAACATTAAGCTTAATTTACTAAATTCTTTGAGATTCATTTTTTTGAAATAAAAATTGCTAAAATCTTTACTTTCTGGGTATTGAAATAGCTCTGGTTAGCCAGAGTTTCACCAGTTCATCATGCGTGTTGATGCGAGAGGAGCCAGGGCCTTGCAAGGCGCGCACCGGGTGGCGTAAGAGCCAAATGTGACATTGAAGGGTCGCTTTATGGTGTTTTTAGGATAATCTTGTTTGTTTGACAATTTCTATTAATATTTTTACGTCTACAAAAATTCAAGTTTGGCAAGTTGAAACCCGCGTATGGAGATCCGTGACATATCTACACGGCAAAAGCACAAAGAGGTATGTGGAAATTGAAAAGCCCATCCTTAACCTGGGCGATTCACATTTCTTGATACACACTTCTGGTACTACTAATAGAATAGAATACACTTGACGGCACAGACTAGACGTATTGTTCTTGGTGGTGCTAAGCTATCCCATCTACCTTCCCCATTCGTAACTTTCCAAACTTGCTCGACAGCCTCAGACAGCAAATTGCGATTCACATTTCTTGATACACACTTCTGGTACTACTAATAGAATAGAATACACTTGACGGCACAGACTAGACGTATTGTTCTTGGTGGTGCTAAGCTATCCCATCTACCTTCCCCATTCGTAACTTTCCAAACTTGCTCGACAGCCTCAGACAGCAAATTTTGTTTACATATAGATTCTTCTATGTGACTCGCTGTCAAGGTATCCGCCCAGCCGTGTCCCTAGGTGCCGAAGTTCCCACCTAGCCGCATCAAATCAGAGGAGATTCCGACCTTTTATGGTGTCTTATTAGAGGCGACGGGGAATCGGCTCCTAATGGCACACGGTTACACGAGGGCTACGATCATGGGAGGGCAGAAGGCCCTCACCGACTTCTTGTATTTATAGAGACCTTCGGTCCCTCAAGGCCTTGAGGAAAATAAAGAACTTTTGATACCAAAGACTATATTAGATAAATTGAGCTACCACTTCAAGCCCTCACTGAGCCCTTGTCGCACCTTAATCGGGCAATGTAAACGCAGCGCAAAGCGGGATACCCTTGCATGGACTGAAAGCACCATGCTCTACATCACGAAGTTGAGTCGGTTGCTCCTATTTCGTCGACTTCAAGTTATGGGTTTCGCTGCTGAATTGGAAACTGACCTGTCATATACATGTAAACGCAGGTAAGAGGAGGAGTTGTGCCTCGGCCAACCGACTCGACTTTCCCGTGTCTTGATCAAGATTTGATTAGACCGATTCTCTGGCATGAACTTTCTGCAAGAATGGTTTTCTCGTACTCTGCCGTTGACCTAGCCACAAACACTGTATTTCGGATCTAGGCAATTATAAGAGCTTATTGATAGCGACAAGAGTTGTCGTACCTCTCGGCCATTCAATTTTATGTCTGTCCGCCCTCACTCAGCCTCCAGTATTGCCTTCCAACAGCTTGCCATGTTGAAGATGATTGTCAGATATCTCTCGACAGTTCCTGGGTCCACGCCCATCTGCCAAAAACGTCAGACAACCCTTTATCCAACTTTACAGGGGTCACTCACTACGCCTTTTCCCTTGCACGACAACTTTAAGGGTTTAATTCTCGTCCCGAATTCGCAGAGACCGGACAGGCTTCTTTTGCTTCTCGGAAATTTCAACATCGTCATAAGACGACGGAGTACATGAAATGTCAGTGATGTTGGCAACGCTATAGGTATGTGATTATTCGAGGGTCGTATTTTTTACTCGTGGATTTGTTTCTAAGCGTTTCGCGTTAGTCTTTGTTATTGATATTATAATGGCCCAGTCGGAGATTTTCCTCCACCGCGGCTGATATCATTGTCCATGGCGTTAGGCTTCCCGCCCAGCCGCGTAACAAGTAAACCAGTGAAGTTGGCAAACTATGTACAGAGAAACAAAGACCTTATCTTTATATCTCAGTCGCGAGAAACGGCGAGCAAGGCTTTGGTCTTCCCTTGTTTCACTTGCGCCATGGCCGATGAGAAACTGCCTCCAGCGCAGGGTTCTGCTAACATAGTCCTGGGAAGCAAGTCCACGCTTAGCTGCTCACAATCTGCAACTCGTAGACGACTACCAAAAGTGGAGGCACCAGACCTTCTGTTGGCACACGTCTCTCTCTCCATCTCTCTCCCTGTATCACAGTACCAGACATTTCTCAATTGCATCTGCATGATTACCTCTTACTGAACTCATTCTTGATTTAGTTTCCTCCTCCCGGCCCAGGACTAGGTCCTTGGGCCTAGGATGAAGAAATAGATGAAGAAATTAAAAACCGAGGGGCAGTAAAGCAGTTGGCCCGTATTCGCGTCAAAATGCTTACATAATCACATTGGCAATGTCCTTCCTGAGCCAACTCCCCTGTTACAACTTACAACCCAAAGTACGGAGTAGCACCAGACCAACCCAAACCACACCAACACCCGAAGCGCCACAGCCAGCTTTACCCAAACACCATCGCATCACTGCCATTTCAATGTCCTGGAAGCTAACCAAGAGTAAGTAGCGCTAGCATAGCCTGATGAACGCCCGGCCGCCTGCCCCTCAAATATCACGCACTCTCTGTCTGTTACACAACCCAATCCCGCTAATAGCTCATCTTGTAGAATTAAAGGAGACCACCTGGGCTCCTTGGCAGGTTTCACGAGATCTACATCAACTGCTTCCACTCTAGACCCTAACAAGGACAACAGCCATGTGGCCTCTCTTTCTGATAACGGAACAACAGCCAGCTCCAACCCCGCTGGTATGCTTTGGCCTGGTGTCAAGCTTCAACTCACTGACCGCCCGTTACAGTTGCCTTGGAAAATCCCAGCCAAGCTCCTGTGGTAGAGACGCCAAAACAGGGCATTCTAGTCGTCACCATGCATGAGGCCTGCGGTCTGTCCCAACCTGAACAGCACCAAAATATATACTCGTCCCAGCACCACACGACATCCCGCTTGACGGGCAATGCGGTGAGCACTACCAGCTCTACGGAATCGACGTCATCTCGTACTTCGGCGCCCTTCGCGACCAATTCACATCGGCCTCAGTCCTCGCTGGGCCGTGGGTTTCGAGGGATCCCAACTATCCAACGGCCGAGTATCTAGCAAGTACATGCCATATGCTCTGGTCGATTTCGACAAGGTCCAAGTCTTTATCAACTCTATTGAAGGGACGCCAGACAATCCCAAATGGGCCGGCTCCAACACCCAGTACAAGTTTGACGTGTCCAGAGTTTCAGAGCTGACAGCACATCTCTTCATCCGTAACCCTGCTGCTGCGCGCAGTTTCGGTCGGTCGCAGGATATTTTCCTGGGGTGTCGTTCGACTTACTCCGCGACTCCACGCTAATGAACTTTCAAAAGACGCCAAACCTGGCAAAATTGGCGGAACAACTCAAGGATTCAATGGCGTTGGGTGGTTCAATCTACAGCACGGAACAGGGAAGCTCCAGATTGGTGTCGAGTTTGTCGAGAACCAAGCCAGCAAGCTCAGCATTGACGACTTTGACTTGTTAAAAGTTATTGGAAAAGGAAGTTTCGGAAAGATGCAAGTAAGGAAAAAGGATACAAACCGCATCTATGCCCTCAAAACGATACGGAAGGCCAAAATCATATCCCGCTCCGAGGTGATCCATACCCTGGCTGAACGACCCGTTCTTGCTCACACAACAATCCCTTTATTGTCCCTTTAAACCTTCCAGTCACCAGAGAAGCTTTACTTCGTTTTAGCTTTCGTGAACGGTGGGGAACTGTTCTATCACCTCACAAATGAACGACGATTTGATGTAAATCGCGCCCGTTTCTATACAGCTGAACTTTCATGCGCCCTCGAGTGTCTTCATGGCTTTAACGTCATCTATCGAGATTTAAAGCCAGAGAATATCCTCCTCGACTATCAAGGCCATATCGCGCTTTGCGATTTCGGTCTGTGTAAGCTCGAGATGAAAGACGAAGACCGCACTAATACATTCTGCGGCACGCCTGAATATCTCGCACCCGAGCTTTTACTTGGTCAGGGCTATAATAAGACTGTGGATTGGTGGACGCTTGGAGTGTTGTCATATGAAATGCTAACTGGCCTACCGCCGTCTTATAACGGAGAGACCAACGAAATGTATCGAAAGATACTGTCGGAGCCTCTAAGTTCTCCAGGGAATGATGTGGTACCACCGGCAGCTAAGGATCTCTTGACCAAGCTACTTAATCGAAACCCGGCGTAACGCCTTGGAGCGAATGGCTCGGCGGAAATAATGGGGCATCCTTTCTTCCATGCTATTGATTGGAGAAAGCTTCTGGAACGAAAATATGAGCCGACGTTTAAGCCCAATGTGGTATGTTGTTCCCCCACGCCTCCTCTTGTTGGATGCTGCGTGACTGGACAGCTTGGCTGAAATATGTAGGCTAATGCCCTCGACACTACCAACTTCGCCTCCGAGTTCACAACAGAAGCACCTTAAGATTCCTTCGTTGAGGATCCTGCTCTCTCGCACACTATGCAGGATCAGTTTGCCGGCTTTAGTTATACTCGCCCTGTTGCCGGACTCAACGACGTGGGGGGGAGTATCAAAGGTCCGTCCTTTATGAATGGCTCTGAGAATCTACGATGAGCACTTGTGATGCCTGCGAATGTTGGCAAGAGAAAGAATGAAATGCTCGTGGTAGGATGGGAGAAGTTGCAGAGCGCAAGTGTTGCGCAAAAGTGGCCCAGAGTGCGCCGAATACACTATGATCTGTGAATGCAATTTCGACACGGTATGAACTATCTACACCAAAATCTCAGTTCAGTGACCCCCATGCCAATCTCCGAATTAAGATAGTAAGCATAGCTGCAGGAAGGGTCCTTGTTGATGACGGCGTCCCAAAGATGTTGTCGGGCAACGGCCCACACACCTGGTGAGGACGATGAATATCTATAATGACATCCCCAGCCGTCATCATAACGGCCAACCTCGGCCTCGGTGATCAAGCCCCACATGTTGGCCATTTTGTCCATGCACTCTTGGTGCCATCCAGCGTATTCCGCCCCAGCAATATGCGCGTTACAACGCACCATCACCACGGGCCCTAGGGGTCCTGCGGTCCTTGAGCTTATGGTACTGTTTGGAAGTGAGGCAGCAGCACAGGCGCCAATGACAGCAAGTGCATGTAGTCCCGGCCAAGTACGCATCTTCGTTCCTATTACCAGAGCCTGCTCGGGATATTAGTCCTCCTCTTGACCATGACTGCTATTGTTAGATGAGAGGGAGAACAAACCAAGGAATACACTCTGAAGAATAGCAAAGGAGCCAGAAAATAAAAGATGGAACCCAACGCAGATAGAAAAGTGCCTTGGTGTAGAGGCTCTGTCATTTTCAGACCCCTATTTGGGTTCATTCTTATACTTGCCGAAGACACGCAGACGCGCGATTTTCTACACACAAGCCAATATACCCATCTCAATAAAGCGGAAGGATCCCCTATACAAAACTGGTACTAATGAGTTAAAGATGGGTTATCGTACCATAAGATGCCAAAGTTCACGACGCTGCGATCCAAATGCCGCTTGCAAGACAAGTGGGACTAACTGTGGCTATTTCCCGTTTTTCGTCCTGCCGGGGGCTCAATACGTCAACCTACCTACAGGTAGGTACATATCAATAGCATTCAGCGACGCATATGGTCCTAAAGGAATTCACCTTTTGGGTAGGCCACAGCAATAAGTCAACTAAATGAACACGGCACGGCTGGGAACTCTCGACGCAGGCTCCAGCCGACGCCGCACGCCAAGCCTTACTTGACCACTTGAATAAATCTCTCTCCCAATTTTTCAGATCCTTCTTCGGCCACGACTTCGCTCTCACCATCGCTCAAGACATCGTCAACACCACTCCCCCGGTTTGTCTCCAATGGATGTCCATCAAGAGACAGAGCAAACTCCACTACTTCGAGCAGGACATCATGTACACCGCACAACACAGGATGCTGTTCGCAATTCTCCGCCGTCGCGTCTAGCCGTCGCCTTTCAATGTCTCCTCTTGATCGCATTAGTTGATATCGGCAATACACTCATCAGCAGGCCGATTGAACAAATACAATGGGAAACGTCTTGTCACAATCCCAACACGAGCAGTATATCAAGTGTTGCGACAACTCCATCGTGCGCCCCAAAGGACTTTTCCGTGCTTCAAAGCTGGAAAGTTGCTTTCGAAACCGTCATGATTGTCCTCACAGCTGCTCCATTTGGCATGGCGGCCGATGCGTGCGGCCGCAAACGAATCCTCCAGCTATCCATTGTGGGCATTACTTCCGCGCAGGCATTTGACATTGTCATCTGTACGGAGAGTCATGAATCCCGACGTGCTCTAACAGTGCAAAGGGGCTGATATTGTCGTTTAGGTCGCTTCCCGGAAACATTTCCCGTCCATCTAATGGCGCTGAAAGGACTTTGGGCCCTGATGGGGGGCGGCCGTACTGTATTTTCAGCCATGATATTCACAATCTTGAGTGACGTAAGCACAGATGCGCAAAGGTACGGCTGACGTCGCTTTAATCTCAAGACTTTGGCTAACATCCTTGGCTGGTCAACCACCTTCTTTTATGTCACCGCTGCAGCAATATCAAGTGAACTACTGTCTTACCAGCTACTCCTCATTCTCATGTACGCAGGTAACTGGATTTGTATATACGCTGGGCTGGGCTGCTTCGTCCTGTCCTTGTTGACCACGCTCTCTTTGCCCGAGACCCGTCCGAGTCCATCAGCCCCTGAGAGCTGTGGCCAACCGCCGCCATATCAGGGACCAATTCGTTCATTTAGGGAGTGCCACAGGCTCATAGACTTCTTCAAATCGACCGTCGTACTAGCCCGTCGTTCTTTCTATGAGAACAAAAAGCTAGGTTTGCTGCTGTTGTTTTGTGTATTCACAACCGCTGGTAGCCACATACCGCTCATGCTGGCCTGGCAATCTTCAGAGCGACCTGACGCCCTAGACTTGGCGGTGAGTTTCAAACTTTGTACAATGTATACATGTAAAGCCCCCAATTTACCAACACCCTAGGAGCAGATATTTCTGTCCATCATTTGGTCGAATATTCTAAGGGTCGTGCTATTGACGATAATACTGCCCTTGGTCAGTTACTTGCTTGCCAAGAATCTGGGGCTTAATCCGTTGATAAAGGATGTTTATATCTCGGCTGTGAGCATTGTAGCGCTTGTCGCTGGATCGTTGGGTATTGTCGTTGCAAAAGCCACCGGGTCAACCCTTGTGGTTGCAACCATCTACATCTACGCCCTCGGATGTGGATATGGTCCAGCCATGCATAGCCTTCTAGGCCTGCTATCAGGAGGTTGTCACATTGGCATGTTGTATGCGATTATTGGGGCTATGCAAAGCGTGGGAGTCTTCCTTGGGTGGGTTTTGTTTGGGGGCTCATTTGAAACGGCCCCTTTTCTTTTCACAGTCTTGTTCCTGGTGCTTGTTGCGGGTGCCTTGTTTTTGATACAATTGGAAGACGGCCAGCAGAGGCAGCCAATCTGGATTCATCTTGATGATCTTGTGGTACACAATGTGTCACCATGAAGAATCAAGATTCGCTTTCTTCATTCTTGGTTGGCTTATTAGACGTGATATTTCCTGGCGTGTGTCATACGAAAGAAATTACGTTCCAAGGGGTTAAGAGGCCTTTGGTTAAGTTTGCGAAGGGGGGGCATCTACCCTTAATTAGGTTGACGTGAATACAATACACTAATAGATGAGCGCATTTTTATGTTAACAAGAACCAATAATCCGCTCACACCGATACGCTTCTGACCATGACAATGTTGCAAGTTCACAAGCTGAGTTTTAACCTGCGGGGGGGTTCCAATACCCTCCAGTTGAAGAATCTGCTACGTCTTCGCAATAGGTTTTCGGGCGCTCGCGCGAACCAAGACAGACCTACATCAGCCCGGACGTATTGGTGTCTGATCCTGCTAGCAACCGAAAGGGATTGACATCACAGCTTACAGCACAACGCTCCAGCCAACGGAGGATCATAGCGACCACTACAATGTCGCGGATACCACCAATAACCGTGTTCCGAACGCCATAAGCGTATGTACGTATCAATCAACGTCATGTGGATTCTCAAGTACAGTGGCGTTTGCGTGGCCACATGACTTGGCTGCTCTGGTCGAAGCCCTTGCCATAAGAATCCCGGAACTTGAACCCCGTACCCTCACGCCGGCACAGTTTTATCTTACAACTGTACTTGCAAATATTATGTTTAGAAACCAAAGAGGCTTCGTGTTTATACGGTGATTATGATTCTTCGCTCCCGGCTATCAGACTCTCCCATCTACCATGGTGTGTTTTCTCCGTCGGGATGAGGATCTGAAATCGGGGGCACTGTACTATTCGACAATAAAGAAGAATTGTGGCGCGGGTTTCTAATTGCGGAGAGGCCAAACCCCGGAATAGTTCAATGTCATGATGTAGAGACGTGAATGGTTAACAAGGGCAGTTGCTTCGCCTCCGCCACCGGCCGACCTTATCAGGTGCGCACATGACGACCATGTCCAACCTATGTAGTAACTATGGAGTACCTTTAAAGATGACGTCAACCCTGGGGTCGAGGCACAACTCTGCATGGGTCGTCCGTGGGTGGCCTATTCTGGCCCGTGTCCGAAAGTTCCCCGGATTCTCTTCAGCCATTTGTTTCAGACATCCGATGGCCACTGGCATGATCTTATCGGGTGGCCAGTCAGACTAATTGCGTGACCGTTCAACACAGCCCCAGTTTACGCCAGACTTCCAAAGGGGGGACATTAGATCTGTTTGGCCTTTTTGCGCAAGATTGGTGGATCTTCGATATTGTGGCTAGCCAATCTCGGGGGCTTGATCATGAGGCGCTTTGTTCCAAAAGCCCCTTGTTCAAATCAGAAGCTGACATTGGTCTGCCTCATCTATTTGTTGACGTACTTTGAGCGTTAGGAACAGACAACGGCAACAAGCTTGGAGAGGGCAGGAAAGGTGAACCTATCAGCCACTTTCTTTTAAATAAGCTGCAACCACTTGCTAGTTTTGGAATATGCCGTCATTCGACTACAGCCGCTATGGCCACCATGACCTTTGTTCCTTTGGAGTCGTGGTCTTGTAAAGGTGGCGAAGTGGTCAAGGAACTGTGAAGCACAGGCTAGTCATGACAAGTCCTTGGCGACAAGCATATGACTCGCTCGCAATCAAATGAATGAGAAATTGGTTGGTCTCGGTATCAAGGCACGATCCAAGGAGTGGTCCGAGGGTGCTGAGCTGTAGCTTCGTTTCCAAATCAGCTGATAAGATTTAACACGCTCGAAATTCCCATTGTAGTAATAATACCCTCGCGTTCTGAGATGTGATTCTAGGGAACACAGATCCAAGCCGAGGTATAATTGCCGTGATTCAACACTGCATTAATAAACTCTGGCTGAAGAGTATTGTGAAAAGGGAGAATACATTTGCCTTGAGCCAAAATTAGAAGATAAAAGACAAAGCCTGTTGCAAGAGAAAAACGCCATGAAGAAGTCGCCTTCAGATGACTTCCTTTTTTAAGATATTATTCCAAGATGAAAGAGAAGACATTGTTAGAAAGGATCTACAGAGCCAGACGTTTTCCGTAGGATATCCCACTGTGTGGAAGAAGGCCAAGTAAACTTGCCAAACACGTGACTGAGACACGGATGTTACCCTATGCTTAGTCGCATCACGGCTGCAATAGACCGTCAGAAGTGTATATCCGTCTTATGCATAGTGTTTTACAGTTGCCTTACACTCATATGTAGTCATTTAGCACTAGATTCAGCCGAGGAGCGTCGTACCATGTCTCCTATAAGGCTTTGAATCTGTTTTCAATACAGCAAGTTATGAAATTAAGCTGAATATTTTGCTGTTGCTTATTCGAGCAAGCCGCTAAGCAAGTTACACTTGAAATTTGCCCATTGCTTCAACACTGCTCTTAGTCTCAGCTCTCAACGCCATAATTGTGCAACCACACAACCGGAAATAAACTGCTTGTTGAGCTCGCCACGATGCTCAGCTACTTTGTTTTCCCGAATGAACTTACAAAACCTGGAATGTCCTAGCGTCTCTAGCCGTCTCGCGTCTCCCTATCACATACATATCCCCCTCGTGAAGGCGCAGCCACATTTTGTGACAGAACTGTACTAGAGCAGGAACCCGGCAGTGGCTGCATTGTTCAGCATGAAAAGGACCGATTAGCATTTTCAGGGGCATCTTAATATAGAACAAGAACCCGACCACGTGGTTGTAGGGCAACAATGTAAGATTTGTTGATACCCTCCCGCAATCAACTGGAGATATGCGGGGGTGGCAGCTCTCGCCATCCATGAGACCTGGGGAAGACCTGGGGAAGTCCACTTCCAGAAAGCCTCAAAGAAGCAACCCTCGGCAGCGGTGTCTAGCCGTGGAGTAAACTGGAGCAACGACCCACAACTATCAGCCAATTTCTATTGTTCTCGATGGGGCAAGTCATCACGAGGGCGACTACTTGACGCCCTGACCATCTGGGGTATCTATTGTCACAATGGACCTGAGCCCCATGTCATTATTTCCCGATGCGGCATTCAGCCCAGTCTCGATGGCTTCCTACAGACTCGTAGTGTAGATGACTTTAGGCAGATAGTTTTGGTTAGAGTCTGGTCAGTCCGGAACCGGCGTGGTTGTGTAGATATAAACTGCAGCCGTCTCCCGTAGTTTCAATGGCATCACAATCACTTTATCAGACACCAACAATCTCCTGTCACGCTTACGTTCAATCCAAAATTCTCAAAAAAATGAAGTTCTCAGTTACTTCTGTCGTGGCTGCCGTGCTAGCTGTGGTCAACGTAAGCACCCCGATGGGAAGTACGCCCACTTACACCAGAGCTAACAATGTACTACCATAGGGCCTCCCTAGCACGCCCTTACACGAATTAGACGCCTTCAACGTAATCGGCGGCGTCACCTGGACGGGCGAGGTTCTTCCAGGAAAGAATGTTACATTCAGCGGCACCATGCAGGAGGTCCGGGCACAAATATTGGCTGAAAACCCCGACTACTTCAGTGCATATGACAATGAGACGAGCATTGAGCAGGGAACCCACCTTCAGAAGCGATGGGTAAGTTTCCAATCTTGTCCCCTGTCGTTGTTGTTTTCTTCGGGATAATGATTAACCTTATTGCAGCAGCTGAAGCAGCCTCCGGACTGCAACTACGGCCATTTTATGCGAAGAATATACGCCATACAGTTCATCAACGGTACGTTAGATCGACTCTTATAGCCTGCACAAATATATCGTCGCTAACTTACCCCTCATCGTGCAGAACTAAACGCCAAAGGCGGCGGTCATGCCATGTGTGGTGCGCCTCCGAGACGAGCACCTGGACTCGGCGGTTGCTCCCGAGTTAGCTGCAACTGGGGATCGCAGATGTGGTTGTGCAATGATAACAATTACCACTTGGAGCTTCCTTGCACGGAGGTTGCTTCTGCTTTGCTTGAGCTGAGCAATGTGTGCTATACTGTCGTAAGTTAACCGGCGCCAAACCAAGAACTCTGCCGCACATTGATGCAGACAAATCCCTAACGTTTAAAATAGCAACCTGGTGGTGATACGCAGACACAAGGCCAGGTAAGTATTTCGTCTCTCATTGTAATATGAACCATGGGGCCATGCTGACACACTTGATAGCTCTTTACCAAGGATAACTGGAATGTCATTATTGATTATTATGGTGACTGTCATTCAAGAGCCACTGTGGGTTGATCGATCTGCTGTGACAGAGGCGAATTGCCATGGATTGTTTTGGGAGGTAAACCAGGTTAGGGGTTCACGGCGTCAACTGTATACCCGAAAATATTATACATTTAGAACTGGCTCTTAAATAGACTGCTGCCAATAACAAAAAGTTTGCGCTGCTCATTTAACACGTAGTTGACTTACTGTCTCGTAAAGAGATGTCACGACTCAAGGCTGTGAAGCCAACCAAGACAAATTACGTTTTGTATCCCCAATGCCAAAAGTTTCGGCCTTATTATATACGGTCCATAGTGGTCGGCAACATGTACCAACACGGCAAACCGAGAGACTGGGATTGGTTCCCCCAGTCTCTGCTGAGTCTACGCCAAAATTTTGTTAAATTTTCCTGTTCCCCGTCTCAGGCCAGGCCTTTTGCATGATATATTGACTCATCGGCGCGAAAAACACTCTATAACCCCCGAGTAGCCACTTATGAGTCAACAAGCCCACAACAGCCCACAACGCCAAATAACTACTAGTAGTGTCTACCAAGCTAGAGGCCTTGTTTAGAAAATGATGGGTCACCTAGCAACGGCCGGGACGGATGTTACATGGAGCTCAGTATGTTCTTTCACCACATGTTGTGAGGGCTGGGACTCCATGTACATATGACGGGAGTGCGAAATCGCACACGGACCGATGGTCTTCCCGACGGCGAAATGGCAAGGATGGGAAGGCGCTGTGAACTCAGACACTTCCAATCACCATGCTGACGGTTGCGCTCAAGGAAACATAAAGATATTATTCACCTCCCAGGTGGACCCAAGTACAACGCTGACGTAGCTTTTGGTGTCGATGGCCCAACTGCTCCTCTCTCAATGACTGATGACGGGCACTAAAAACACCTAGGCAGCCCATAAGTGCGTTTTAGTCACTATTTTCTATCGAAACAGAGTCTTTGCGAGCCCTAAATGTGGAATATACTGATATCGCAATAGTACTGACGAGGCTGGAATCCATGTTACAGCCTTCTGGAGGTGGAGTTGCTTGATGAGAATTTCGAGGTCCAAACTGGGCGACCGCCCATCCGCTACACCGCTGGACTGTATTCGTTGTCGGGTTTCTGGGGGGGAAGGAACTGACTGATGTTGCAATGGAAAGCGGGAGGGAAATGAGGAGGTCAATACAGTCGGCAAGATTATGCTGGTGAACCACGTAGTTGAACTGAGCGGGGGTGTCAACACGCAAGTTGTGCATCGACTTGATACAGAGAGAGGGAGATTTTACGCTCTGTGGGACTATTTCGACATTGACGGAATCATATTCACGAATGTGGTATGGCACCAAGTGCTTGAGTGTTCCAAAATCGCCGTACCGACACACAAACGAACAGAAATACGGTTTTAAAGGTTCACAACACCACGCTGTGAGTTTTCCTATGGAATACAACATTGTATTTTTGGCTTGAAAGGATGATTACGTCAAACGGGTATCCGAGTAAGTCCAATTCAGTACCCTGCCTTGCGCGCTTGCCTACACCTTGTACGGCCAACACCAGTCAACAGCAACGTTGCCCTGAAAATCGGTAGAGTTTAAAAACGCGTGTTCAAATTCATGATAACGACCTAACTACATTTCCCTAATGGCCAGCAGTATTATAAAGAGCAAAGAAATGGCAATCCGCTTCTCGTGTTTTGGTCGAATAGATACTCGAGGCGTCACTATGGGTTGTTTGATGGTTTTCCATATAATACTGTCATCCTACAACCACGTCACGCCAGCCAGGGATATCGAGATGAGGCCATATGCATCCTACACAGAAAGAAAGGGAAAATGAACCCCTCAGTGGACAATGCGAACCATGAGATATGGTAGGCTTAATTCGATCGCTAGCAGCTCATGGAGAATATATTCCGCGCAATAGATAACGACCACGGGCTCGAGGGTTGGCTCGTGGCTTCGCGTGGCATGGATGACTTGAAGCACGCCAAAGAAAATTCACCACGCCACATGGCCGCCATCAATTCGAAGGTCACTGCCCGTCATGAAGCTGCTTGCATCGCTGATAAGGAAAACAGCAGCGCCTCGATACTCGCCGGACAGACTGAGGCGGTTGAGCATGTTATCCCTGGACCACGATTCTCTGCGCTCCGGAAACTCGTCCAAAAGCGACTGAACCACTTCTGCCGTGATGTATCCCGGAGACAGCGTGTTGACCCGGATGCCATGTTGACCCCATTCCGCGGCAAGGCTGCGGCATAATTGAGGAACAGCTCCTTTGGACGTATTATATGCTTTGAGCGGCAAGTCCGTTAGTCCGAGGTCGTCTGTAATCGTGTCAGGCATGAAACATACGAAGAAGGCATGCCGCGGTTCGCAACGCTGCCACTCATGCTCGCAACAAGACAAATGCTTCCGCGTCGCTTTAGCCGTATCATCTGGCGAGCAGCCGCTTGGGTCGTCATGAAAGTTCCTGACATTCAGACTCATTATGTTTTCCACTTCGTGCGGCACAAGTTCAGGAGCTGAGGTCTCATTTTCTATGTCAGCGGCGGCGATTAAACCATCCCGTCGACCGTGGTCATGGGCGATTTTAGACATGACTTTATTGAGATGATGGACATTTCTGACTTCGGCCTCGTGGTACGTCAGAGCCGGGCTTGGTTTGTCAACGGGGAATGTTTTATCAATGCAATGCACGGCAACGGGTGTGAAAATTTCATGAGTACATTCATGATAGATTTGCAATTGTGCATGGTTACTACAATGTCGTACCGTTTGCGCCAGCTTCAAGTAAGGCTTCGGCTTGAGCAAGACCAAGACCCCCGGTGCCTCCAGAAACAACGACGACTTTCCCACTCGGATCGAACTCCGGAAGCAACTTCTTCCCTCTTGAGTGCACGCCGCCGGCTATGGAGGCGGACCTGAACGGGCTCAGACGGCGGCTGATCAGGAGCATTGTTCGTTTGGGCACAGTGTGTCAACAAGTAGTGGGTTATTTCGTAACACACCAGACATCTCGAAGAGCTCCTGTACGCGCCATAATACTATCCGTGATTGGTCTTCGGCAGTGGCGTCCAGGGTGCGATGTAGCATCCGAAGTGTTTGAAGCCATTGAGCTAGTCCGGGCCCTGAAGCTCGCTGGAGCGCCAGATCAGAGCATCCCAGTTTACCGACTTTGTTTTGCTCTTCGGAATGCTTACTTGATAATATTGTCGTGATGGTGATGGAAGTAGGACAGGCAGCAGCAGCACAGCTCTATTCACTTTTAGCTTTGCAAGTAGGTAAATACTAACCCTACTTGCCTCTATCACCCTGAATACCAACCCTAACCCTCTCAACCGCTTGTGGAGACTGTGTCAGATGCGAAATGCTGCAGCAACGTCCACGACTCCACGCGCCATGCGCCCTGCGCCCTGCGCGTGATTAGAAGGCGTAAAAAGCTCATTGCATGCAGGCCAATGACGACATTGAGGCCACCAAGGGACTTTGGCGACTCGAGCAGCCAGCAAGGTCCTGTAGAAGCTGGTACATGTAGGCACGGCGGCATTATTGGCGCATTGACCAGACCAGACAGACGCCTTCAATCTTCAATGTCGTCTGGTGCTGCACAAATGCGCAAATGCGCAAATGCGCCATAAAGTCAAGTGGTTCAGCAGCGCTGCATGCGGTTATTAGTGGGGCTGGCTGCCAATAGCAATCGTCCATCAAGGTGCAGCCCCGCCTTCCATCATTTTACAAAAACCAGTCATCGACAAAATTCTCGAGCCTCAATCGACAAGGAGCCATTGACAGCACGCACATTCATTTCTAGACTCTGCAGAGACGCCATGCCCTCCAGATCAGATATCACCTATTTTGGTGCAGGCCCTGCGCTTCTGCCGACCGACGTCCTTGAGGATGCTGCCAAGGCTCTCCTCAACTACAATGACACTGGCTTGGGTGGTATGGAGCTCCAGAGGTCCTAATTCTCCTTTTCGCACCATCCCAAGAAGCCTCTTGAAATGTCCCTTTTTTCAGCCATCTTGAATAAGTCACACTGACCTCTAGTTTCTCCGTATAGTCGCCGAGCACAGTCACCGCTCGCAGCTAGCGACTGACATCATCAATCAGGCTAAAGCCGATCTGGCCTCCTGCCTTGATATTCCAGACGACTATGAGATCCTCTTCATGCAGGGCGGTGGCACGGGCGAATTTTCGGCCACGGCGTACAACTTTGTCGGCGCCTGGGTTGCCCGCAAGCAAAAGGAGATTGTGGGCACTATTGGAGGCGATCCCACCGACCCCAAGTTGGTCCAGCAACTCAAGGAAACCGTGGACAAGCATCTCAAGATCGATTACCTCGTTACCGGCGGCTGGTCACAAAAAGCGTCAGCTGAGGCCGTGCGTCTCTTTGGCTCAGAGCATGTGAATATTGCCGTAGATAGCCGCGAGTCCAACGGCGGCAAGTTTGGAACTATTCCGGATGAGAGCACCTGGAAGCTATCCAAGGATGCTGCCATGGTGTACTACTGCTCAAACGAGACCGTCGAAGGCGTTGAATTCCCTGAATTCCCCAAGTCTCTTGAGCCGGGGCCCGACGGAAAGGGCCCTATTGTTGTCGCTGACATGAGTTCGAATATCCTTACGAAGAAAATTCCCGTCAAGAACTTCTCAGCCATCTTCTTTGGCGCCCAAAAGAACCTCGGAGTAACAGGTGTCACCGTTGTGATTCTTAAGAAGAGCTTCCTACCGCCTATTACACCTCAGCCTTCTGTAGCCCTGATGAGACAACTGGCTTTACCTATTCCGCCCATCGTCTTCCAGTATGAGACTATTGCCAAGAACAATAGCCTTTACAATACGCTTAGTATCTTTGAGTAAGTTATAGTCGATTTGACATTTCCAAACTAACATGTTATTAATTATGTCTATAGCGTATACGTTGCAGGCCGGGTTCTTAAGAAGCTATTGCAAACGTACCCTAATAAAGTTGAAGGCCAGCAAGCTGTATCTGAGAAGAAGGCTGGACTTATCTACAATGCCCTAGAGGCTTTTCCCGAGATCTATAAGATTATTCCCAACAAGGCAGTACGGTCTCGTGTCAATATTTGCTTCAGGGTTACCAAGGGTGACAATGTTGATGCCGCTGAGAAGGCCTTTTTGGAACAGGGTATTGCCCAGGGACTGACGGGGCTCAAAGGGCATCGTAGTCTGGGTGGAATTCGCGCAAGCAACTACAACTCGGTTCCCCTTGAGGGTGCAGAGAAGCTTGCCAAGTTTATTACCGCCTTCGCAACAGCATAAGCAACCTATTAGCTAGGCTGGCCTAAAAGTCGATGCTAGAGGCAGCGTGCTGATACTGACCTCTAAAATGCTGGGGCAAATATAGAATTTGTTTTGAAGTCAAAAGTAAAACGAGCCAATTTTGTGTGTTCTCACGGCTACCTCTTGTGATTTTATTACAGAGGCATACTTTAAAAGGAATGTTGTCAGGCATGACCAGCCGTATCTGCGTGGTTTATGACTGGAGCCATGTCAAGCGTGACGGCAGTATTTCGTCCTAGAAGGCGGTTTTTGTGTCCGTGCTACGGCATGTTTCGGACAGGGTAAATCAGAAAAAGGTGTTTCTATTAAAACACTTGACTAATACTGAATCTTGAGCTTCTTAGAAAGCCAGGATCTATCCATGATTTCCTTAGCTTCCTTGTTTGCACCATGCTGCCATTCGCCCCTCTCTCATATGCCACATGTAACATCTACTCGCCCAAGCCACTCAGACTCGATGAGTCCCAAAGGATTGTGAAAGAAGAGAATAGCCATGTTCAGATAGTAAATAAAGGACAAGGGCAAGCGAAAAACCTTGTGAGGGGTTGAAGTGGCCTCCTCCCGCCTATTTGTTGGTCGCATGGATCTTCTCTTAGAATAGGATTAGTTGGGTCGTCAAGTAATGAAAAGCTGAATGAGAGGGCACATTGGCTGAGAAGTGAACCAGCACTTCCGTTGCAATGGCCCCAACACCACTGATAGTCTAGATGTTTATAATTATAGTCTTTGTATGCTGTTGATATCGGCTCAGTCTTTGTGAACAGTGCTGTGTCTAGTCCATCTTCTGAAGGTCTTGCCATAAAAGTAAAACACAATTCCTAATCCGCAAAACAATAATGTCAAGCCCATGTTTAACATGAAGACGGGAATAAATCTGCAGAGTACAGTTAGCGTTCTTTTCATTACTCGTCCACGCTTTCGTGTTTATAGGTGGAAAAGCTGTGAACCTACCCCGACTGTTCGCTCCACGAAGTGACAAATTCGGCCATGCCATATCCCCAGACATTCTTGTTCACCGTGATGGCCACGAATAGCGCTCCTGCTACCGGCTTGTAGCTGTCAACAGCATAGGTGCTAACGATACTCGGAAGGGCTGCCACTTGGATGCCGGTACAAGTATACCCGATCATGACGATTGGCTGCCACGGCCACTTTTGCTGATAGCCTACGGCGGGGATGATGTGCCCCAGCATCATCAGTATGAGATAGGGTATCATGGCGGGCAGACGCATCTCGGGCTCGCGAACTCCGCCATTACGAGCAGTCGCCCTGGCACAAACCCAGTCGCTGAAGGGCCCGGCAGTGAAGAGGCCGATGAAGGTACCAACAAAGAGAGGCAGGTTGGTGAATCCAACCTGCTCCGCGGACCAGTTGTAAGGAGGAGCCGAGAATACTTGCGACTGCGTCAGGTTGATGATGAGCAGGCCGCTGCAGCTCCAGCTGACGGCAAACGAGGCAAACAAGACAATGGGAAACGCGAATAGCCTCCAGGGCATCCAAAGCTCGTTCCAAATCTTTCTCCATGTCACAGGTGCTGTCTGGAAGATTTTCCACTGCCCACGACTCGGCTTGCCGCTTCCGACCAAGAATTGCTCCGGCAGGCTGGGGTTTGTTGGGCTGCGAGTGATGTCCTCGAGTTGAACGTCGGTGGTCTTGTTGTACCAGTCGCCTTTTCCATTGACGGCAATGTTCTTGCTTCTATGCCAGATGGTCTCGGGGAAACCAAAAGCAATCATGATGAGCGACAATACAGTCATTCCCGAGCACAGCCAGAAGAAGCTGGGCCACCCGCTGCGTTGGGCCATTGTGCCGGAAACCACGGGTGCAATCTAGTCAACAACATTGTAAGCACTTTGAGCCTGGATGAAGAACAAAAAAAAATCTCTCATATCTCACCATGAGTGAGCCCATGTAGATGACCCAGTACAGGGTATTCCACTTGCCACGGTCGTTTAGGAAGAACAAGTCTGCTGTGACGGTAGGCTGGATAGTCTCGGCTGGACCAGCACCGAAACCGTTGAGGCTAGAGGTCGGTTAGCACGTGGGCAACGGTGTTGTGAGGACCTTTAACCGGCGGTTTACATGATGGAGCCCATGAATGAGCTGTAGCTTGTCGCCTTTGCCCGCCAAATGTATGATATTAAGCAAATAATTTGAGACGAGATCAAGACGACGCGTCGGCCGTTGGAGGTTGTCAAGGGAACCCTACAGACACGGATATTGTTAGGATTATCGGCTGACCTGAAATATCTCTCCGAGACGGTGCTACTTGCCAGAAAAAGTTGCTGAATCCCAGAATCAAGATGATAACACCTGTGAACTTGATGACATCTGCCAACGATCGGTCAAACTCTTCCATGAGGAATGGAAACATTGGTGCCAGGGCCAGCGAGGCAAAGCCTTGCGTAAACGTCAGGGACGAGGTTGCAATAATGGCTGAAGCTTTCCAAAAGGGAGACCAGTTGAGCGGATCGTCGGGCGAGTTGGACGGTTGGGGGACCAATACAAAGTGGCCGGTTCCGGTTGATTGTTGGTCGTCAGCATCTTTTGCTGAACCAGTCATAATCTCCGTGCCCGGGAGAATCTCGACGTTCAAGTCATCTCGACGCCGGCCAAACTCCTCCTGCGCTCTTGTTAGCGAATACAGACACGTCGATGCGAATCACTTGTAGGGGTTCACGCACCTCGGTATGACGAGGCGCGTTTTCCTTCATGGCGTAGATGATTTGAGCAGATGAGTAAAATGTCGAATGTTATTGCACAGCACACAGAGGCAGATGATGAAGTCGGGCCTCAACATTATATGGAAACCCCGTTGTTATCCCCCTTGCCATGTCCCAAACCGGCATCTGTCTTCTCCAGACTCCGCTATTGGCTTCCCCGCATCGAGTCCGTCATCTCATCGGATCAGGGGTCAAGGGATTCTTACTATTTTCGGAAACCGGATTGGTCGAGTTCCGATCTTGGGAACCTGGGCGCATAAAGGCGCCGTGGGGACGCGCGATACATCCAAGTTCAAGGCAATCCCACTTGTTGCCCGACGTTGGCGTTGCATTCTCGGCCATTTAAACCAGCCCACACACTTGGGCTTCGGCGAGTTGTCGATGGCTTTTATTCAGGTACCCTTTGAGCGGCGCCATTGATCCAGACCTCGAGCACCACACTTCAAGAATGACACGTCCTGTACGTATGCGCCCTGTCTTTGCCGTGCTGGGCTTACTGATGCCAACAGTCCTGTGTCCTGTACGGGCCTGGCAAAGTCCGCTTCGAAGACCGCCCGCTTCCCGTCATTGATGATGCTCACCATGTGCTAGTCCGCATTGCCTACGTGGGCGTTTGTGGAACTGACGTATGTGGGCTTCCGTGCAAGCAAGCAGTGGCATGGCATCTCATTGACAGAAGCTAAACTCTAGGTGCGTTTCTGGACGCATGGAGGCATGATACGAACAGTGTCTGAAGAGCGGCCGCTGGTCATGGGCCATGAGGCCTCTGGAGTTGTTCATGCCGTAGGCGCAGCAGTCAATCGTGTCCAACCCGGCGACCAGGTTGTCATTGAGCCCGGATTCCCATGCCACAAGTGCAAGTTGTGTCCACATGGCAGATATAATCTGTGCCCAAGTATCAAGTTTGCCGCCGACCCGCCGCAAGACGGGACTCTGTCCTATCTTTACCGGGTGGCCGAACAGTTTGTCTTCAAGATTCCGAGCTTTCTGAGTCTACAAGAGGCTGTTCTGGTCGAGCCCCTGAGCGTCGTAGTACACGGCGCCCGTCTTGCCCCCTTGGAACCCGCGTGCAGTGTATTAGTTCAGGGATCTGGAGTATTGGCCTCCTCGCAGCGGCAACCGCGCATGCCTTTGGGGCAGGGCCAATCTTCATTGCTGATATTAATCAACAAAAGCTTGACTTTGCCAAGGGCTTCGTACAGTGTTAACATTTACTCCGGACTTTGCGTGTACACCCGAGATGAACGCAGCAAAGTTCAAAACAGAGATGAAGCAAACTGATGGGGTGGACATTGTGTTTGAGTGCACCGGCTCTGAGTCGGCCGTCCAAACAGGGCTTCACACCTTAGCAACTGGTGGTACCTTTGTGCAAATAGGCATTGGCAAGTCAGAACAGGTACTGCCACTTACGCTGATGTGCGAAAAGGAAGTTGATTTTGGGAAACTCATTCCGCTGTGGACCTGGGGACTTTGACCTTGCCATCAAATTGCTCGAGACACGGAAATTTTCTGTCAAATCATTCAGTAGTAACATTTTTCCTTTGAGAAGGCTGTTGAGGCCTGGGAAAGGACACGGCAGGGTGAGAGAGTCAAGAATCTAATTCAAGTTGCCGAGGACTAGCGCTCCTGAGTAGATAAAGCATGTACGGTAGGGGCGGTTATTGTTTCAATCTTATAGTACGATTTCTCATTATAGACTACTGTCAAGATCTAGAAGTGTAGAAATATAAACTGGATGCTGGGGATATTCGCCCAAGGGTTGCTATTGCCACATCTGTTTGCTTCATGACCCAATGGCCACACTCGATGGCCATCGCGACAATATATAACTTGCATACTACAAATGAACACAATGTACAATCTTTGGTAGTCAAAGATTGAAAGTAGAAACATATTGTACCACCACAATTATACAGCCTCTACGTCAAACCTCCTCCAACCCGCACACTAGTCACACGGCAATACTCCAAAATTCAGAGACCCCAGACCGGCCGAACCAATCGCGCTTCGGTGGGAAGGACAATGTGGGATGAAACCATGCAAGGTCTCATCCCACCTCTGCCGCGACGCCAAACCGGAATCCATGATCGGATTCTGCCTGCTTAGATTAGACTTTTTCATCCGATGTCCTTCGTGTTGAGATGGTACAGTGCCATCGGCAGGCATCCGAGGCGCTACGCCCATCCGATTACATGCGAAGGAAGCTTCGCTTTGGATCTGTGTCTTCGAAACCCTCTCTCCACTTGGTCATGGACTCGAGGGCCCCCAGTCGTGATTCCCCAGGAGTGTTACATCAAGCTGTGGCTATATATTGTAGTTGGAGGGGGCACTACAGCCGGGCGCACCATCGCCAAGTCCTGTTCGTTTCAACCTGAAAATAAAACTGTCTTTGCGATTCAGCTCTCCCTTGGTTTCATGCAGATGGCTTCGCTCCTTAACGGCACCCAACGCCACCCTGGCAGTGACGGATCCCCCAATGGGACATCCCCAACTTCCAAATGTATTCCCGTTAACGACCAACCGGCATTCACACCTAAGCGGCTCAGAGTCGTTTGCTCCGGTGCTGGGTATAGTGGTTTGATGTTTGCGTACAAATACAAGTACGAGACACCATCAGACGGCTTCATTGATCTGATAATCTATGAGAAGAATGATGATGTAGGGGGAACCTGGTTGGAAACCCGATACCCCGGCGTAGCTTGCGACGTGAGTTGGATCCAATCATATCTTGTCATGAAAAGTACAGCTCGTAACACGAGTAAAGGTCCCTCCTCATATTTATACGTTTTCCTTTGGGCCAAATCCTGATTGGACCTCGTTCTACGCGAGTGGTCCGGAAATCTTGCAGTATATCAAGAGGACAACGGACAAGTACAACCTCGATGAAAAGTTGCAATTCAATTCTACCGTCACTTCTACCGTATGGGACGATGACAAGGGAAAATGGCTGCTCAAAATTCAAAGAGGCGACCAGACAATCGAGGACCAAGCAGACATCAATGGCTCTGGCCTCTTGAACAGATGGAAATGGCCGGCTATAGGGGGCCTGCACTCTTTCAAGGGGAAGCTCCTCCACAGTGCTTCATGGGACACGTCGTTTGACTGGACGGGAAAGCGTGTTGGCATCATAGGGAACGGCTCTTCCGGAATCCAAACACTTCCCCAAATGCAGCCTGGTGCGGGACAGATTGTCCATTACATCAGATCACCCACTTGGATATCCAACCCGTTTTCCGCTGATTTGACGCCAGAAGGAAAGAATTTCAATTATTCAAAAGAGGAAAGGGCACGGTTTCGTGAAAACCCCGAAGAGATTCTGCAGCTGAGGAAAACGATTGCACACCACTTTAACCAGTCGTTTTATGCAAACATAATTGGGACTCCTCAAGAAAAGGCTGCCAGCAAAGCTTTTGAGGAAATGATGAAACGGAGACTCAACAACGACCCCAAGTTGTGCGAAAAGTTGATACCTAGTTGGAAAGTAGGTTGCAGACGACTCACGCCTGGGGAAGGATGTCTAGAATCTCTGCAACAATCCCATGTCACATTGGAATTTTCTGCCACATCCAAGGTCACGGTAACAACAATCCAGACACGAGGCGGGTTCGAGGAATTGGACGCCATTGTCTGCGCGACGGACTTTGATGTCGGCTTCGTGCCACACTGGGAGGTCATCGGCAAGAACGGCGTGAATCTGGCAGAGCAGTGGAAAGATGAGCCAAGGGCATATGGCAGTGTTTGTTCGCCCAACATGCCCAATTATTTCATCTTCAACGGACCCAATGCGGCCGTTGGCCACGGCAGCTTGTTGTCCGTCATGGAGTGGACGGCGGAATACATTCTGCGATGGTGCAGGAAGATTGCTACCAACAACATCAAGTATGTCCAAGATGCCGAGGACTCATCAAGCTCTTGTACTAAGCACTTCATAGGTCGGCGACGGTTGACCCTATTGCCACTGAGGAGTACAATGAATATACCCAAGCGTGGTTAAAGAGAACGGTTTCGACCAGCGGATGTCGATCGTGGTTCGAGAACAATCGCCAGGAGGGCAATGTGACTGCAATGTATGCGGGGATTATTCTGCATTACAAGAAGTTTCTGGAAAGCTTCCGCACAGAAGACTTTAATATTGACTATCATGGTCCAAATAGATTTGCATTTCTGGGCAATGGCTTGACGGCACGAGAACAGGCGGGAGGAGATTTGGCCCTTTACGTATATAAATGAGGACGGTCAGATGGATTCTTGTTGATGAGACAGAAATGAGGGGAATCACGCGTTCAGGCACAGCAAGAGAGCTGTTAGGCCGCCGGATTATACACCAAATCTAACCTTCTGCGCGTAACTAGTAATCCATTCAGTATTAGCCGGGCAATCCTTGCTCATTTCTAAAACACTCATCCCTGTAAACTCAATCCAAGCTAGTAGCCCATAGAGGCAAGTCACAAAGTCATCAGGGCTGGGAGTGGCAACCGGTCGTTGGCCTTTCAGAGACCTTTTTGCCAACGCTGGCCAAAAGCCGTCGAGGAAACTGCCACGACAACGATACGCAATATCACAGTCAAGACAGACATCCAATTTATTCACTTGCTAATTCTGGAATATCCGATTTCGCCAGATTCTAGGCCTCAAAAGCCACTTGAGATAGCGTTAAATGAGTATCTAGGAGGTTTTATACAGCACTAGCTTTATTTTTCACGTCCAACAACCCCTCTCATATAGCGGTTAGCAGTCGTGCAGAGATTAGGCCGTAACCTCTCAAGCCTTTGTATTACTTCTGGAAACCGGAACCGAGTGTTACTTACACATCGCCATCTTTCAATTTGGATATATCTTCTCTTTCTATGTAAGAATGTACAAGTCCCTGAGCCACCCTCTATTTTCACAACCAAGTTGTCAGTACATATTTTATATCTTCATTGACGTAGGCTGCCAGGCTGTGGAGTTCCGACTGGTTATCTTGTTGCTGGCAAGTACTACGTACAGATTCCCCCCCATGGCCTAAATATAGCCATGTCACGCCATTTAAAGTTGGATGTCAGCCTGTGAATCACCTTCTTGACCACTCTTGATTGAATGTCCTAGAAATGTCGCTCCTGAAAGGATCCCGGCACTACGCCCTTTGAGGCTATTATCACAGTTGCCGTGGACTTTTGCACAAAATGACATTCTTATTTCTGTGCTATAACTTGTTCAGCTCAGCAAAATGCCTCAACACTTACTGTTATTCAGGTGGCCACGGTCTGCCTACATCTAATTTAAGATTTAAGTAAGCGGCGTGAAAATTCTCCACCCCATTATTTAGGCATATGCCTTTCGGCAAGCTTCAGTATTCTATGCAAAGCGACAAGTGTTTACTTGCTGGTGATGTTGGGCCAGACTTGAAGGCCACTGTATCAGTAGCCCAGACCACCCCGCCTCGTCGGGAAGTATCTAATACCCGTGATACAAGTTGAACAATGCCGTATGTTAAAGCATAGACTAGTCAGCTTTCAGTCATTGGATGGTTCGTGTACGCCGAAAATTGTAAGGGCCAGAAGCTACCAACACCACTGTAATCGGATGACGATCCTAGAGAGAAGATCTTCAATCAAAACTTTGGTTTAGTATTAAGAAGTGGCCAAAGAAGAAGACAAACTTGCACTTCTTCTATTACAAATGTCAACTAAAGTTTCAATCGATCGAAAAGTATGTAAATCATGATGCCTCAATGCTTCCCTGTGGTTAACGGAGGCCTCTTCATGAGATTCGATGCCGTCGTTACTTGGTAAACTTGACTGAAATAAACCTCGCAAAACATGCGAACGGTTGGCTACTAGGGTTGATGCTAGGGTAGCAAGTTCGAGATTATCCTTTGAGAAGAAATGCAGTGCTAATCACCACTGACAGTTTGTCTCAAGGTGTAATGTAAAGCTTCACGGGGATCTGCTGATACGCCGACGCTGGACATGGAGTTTTCAGAGCCAGACGTCGGTCGTAGGAGTCAATTCTAGCCAGTCGATTGAACAAGCAATCTTACCAGGCTCAAACACCTCGGTGTGATGAAGACGCGGTGTTCCAGGTGATCCATGGTAAAGTGAAACCAACCCGACAGGATTCGGGGCTGACGTGAATATTAGAAGCGGAACGGCACCCTAGACAAAGTACTTCGTATGACATATTATTATGAATATCAGTCTATTATTGTCGACGAATCACCGAGATTTTCAGTCCCTAGCATGGAAAGTCTGGCATTCAAGCCTAAGATGCGACAGGCATCATGAAGGTATCGAGACTTCCCTGCAACAGTGTGATATGAGTAAGACAACCTGTGCGCGCCGCGGTCACGCAGTGCAAAGGAAAAAGAAATTCTCCCTCATCAAACAGATCCGCCTTTGTGATTTGTGACCATAACTGAGACGTTGGGTTCTCAAGTTCACAGGTCAGGCTCGAAGCTGTGTCCTACGTGACAACTCAATTTGATGAATTTCCCGATCTAAGCCGCCTTGAATACCGCCCCATCTAAATTCTGAGCTGAAACGTCATCCAGAAACGTATGGCAGCAGACCGTTGCCGTCACGTCTCAGCCTATCAGTCTTTGTCTAGTCGCATTGTGATATTACGTTTCTTCACTCACGCCCCCAAGGAACTGACGCCCGCATATTAGCCAATAGCTGAGACGTTTTTCTTGAATAGGTGTGATGTAAGCCGCTAACTAAAACTGGCTTCGGAATGATATCGCCTCCGGCTGATACGAAATATATTGCTGTACGCAGACACTGCATTCTCCATGAGAATTCTTTCTCGAGATTCAGACTCAGACCGTGCTTCATTTTTGCAAGAATGCGGCGGTTACCGTCATCAATGCTCCATCTTGGCTAGTCTCTTGTTGCTGGGCTCCCGCATCGCCGAAGGGCTTCCTCATATATATAACTAGCCAATCTCCCGTTTTATTGCACTCTTTGTCACCAACTACTGGCTTACTCGCAAAGTATGTGTTCAATTCCGGTCTAGTTATTGTTATTTGATCATCAGTTATATCGACGTCCGTTTCGGGCAGCTGCACAAGTCTTGTTTACAGAATCGTCATTCCGAGACCTCTAGACATGGAAGTGTCTGCGTCAGATATTTCACCCGTACACGAGGCTGCTGGAATCTGCACAGCCCTGTGTCAGGCTGACCAGCAATATGCACCACGCTCGCATACAAAGCCGCGACCTGCAATTCAATAGCGAGGGCCGTGTAATGACAGAGTGGCCAAGAAGATCCAGGCACAGCTTGAACGCGGCACGGGATAAGGCAGACGACACGTTCCTCTATTCCAACCAAGAATATCGCAGGGTCCTGGTCTTTTGGCTGCTTCAGCTAGCTACCCAACTCACGACTACTCTGTGCCTCGGAATTGCCATCTACTTGGCCAAAATCCCGATCTTCTCCGATGTCTCCAGCACTTTTCCCCCTGCAGAGGAAGAATCCGCTTATTTATAGCAGATACCTGGTCGTCTATGGCACTCAGCGCGACTGTTGATGCCATCGCCGTGTTGGCTACGTTCAACGTCCCCGTCATCCGGCGCTTTCATTACGCCGTGTCCCAGCGCATCAGGATTTTGGCGTCGAATCTATCATTTATTTTATTCTCATCAAACGGAAGGCGAGTTTCGTCGCTTAAAATCCAATAGAGTCGGTGGCCATTGCTTGCGCGCCGTACGCGCTCTCCTGCTTCGTTCTAGACAGCTTCGAGAAGAATGTACATGCCAGTGATGCAGATTGCTGCTGGCGAGGTTTTTCACAGTATAGTCAAATATTCTTCCGAGCTCATTCCACTTGGGGCCGTGCGTTGGTTCACTCGGTGGTAATTGCTGTGGTTGGGCTGTTCCTGACCGTATTCATACCTGCTCCGTAGTCGTCAGTTATTCCAGTCGTTCAAGTCCTTTTTGAGGTATGCCAAGTGAGTACCACCATAGTTTGCTGTACAAAGTGCAAGCTACTAAGCCCGAGGATAGGCCGTACATCTATCGACGTTGAATTTAAAGAAGACGCCGCAGTATATCCTCCTGAGCTCCCCTCCCATTCTTTGCAAACATCTGCGTGCTTTAGGGGTGGCGCCGCTGCTTTCTTCGCCACGAATATCTATCCAGGCTTGGTCTTTTTTAGCCCTGTTTCTGGCGGGACGCGTAATACTTGACATGCACTTGAGAACCGTACTGAATCGCGCCATGGGCTGCATTGGACCAGGGTGCAAGGACTTCCTTCTACACGCCAAGTGTCGTGTGTTTGCGCCGCAATGTTGCTGTTGGAAAGCCCGGGGCTGAAGGTTATCACGTATATCATGATTCCTGCGATATTCAGCGCAGCAAGTGTTGGGGTCGCTTCGCTTGCCGCTCACGGCATTGCTGTTAGGGTCTCTACTCACGGATAGAGTACTTGTCATTTCCGCTGCCTTGATTGATTTTTGAGCAAAACAGCATTTTAAGAACTGGTCTACTACATGTGACACGAGATTAAGATGTCCTCGGTTGCAGGAGCAAACTTGACCTTGGCCATGACTTTCCGTCCCCTGCGCAATTCGAAGTCAGGACAACATTGTAGATATATCACGCATGAAGGGTGTAACGGCAGCTGTCGTACAAAGTATTTTCTTTTCGAAGACCTAGTTGTAGAGTCTTGAGGCAGCCAGTGAAAGGGCGCCAAGCTGGATAGCTGTCTCCAGTGCAACACTAACAGTCAATCCATGGCGGTGGGTTCAAATATGGGCGATATTGGTCTCCAGAATAGCTTCAGGGTCGTCCTAGTCATGTGGAACACAAAACCTTCTTGTCAAGCCGGAACTTGACATTGATGTTGCAGTAGTACACTGCATAAAGTACCGTCTCTCTAGAGGCATACACAAGGATCGCCTCCAAGAATGCCGTCTACGCCAAATTGTCGTGTCGGGTTGTTGTAAGACTCCGACAGGAGCAAGTATGCCGCGGCTGCGGATCAAGGGATATTCACATGGCATCAGATGCTGTACGGTATCGCTAGTCTAGGACTATCCTCCCTGGTCCATCGTTGGCAGTCGACTGCTCCGCTCACTAACCTCAGGAATGTTGGCTCAGAACAAGGCCTGGCTCTTTACGGTTCAATAGTCCAAAGTCATTGGCCTCGACTCTTGGCTCAGACCAGTGCTGGAGCGGAGTTGAGTCTCGGGTAACTTCTGGTGCTCGCAGCATCCCCTGGCGGACATTTGACTTGATTCGGATGGTAAAGCTGGGCCAGGGTCGCAACCGCTGGAGTTTCGGACACTGGCTATAACTTGACCAGCTACGTGTCCCAACGAAAGCAAAGACGCGGACCTTGGCATCAGTTCACCCCGCACCCCGCAACGATCTCCTAATGCAACCTTCCCCAGGATGGGTTGGGTAGAAACACAAAGGATGTGTGGGGAAACAAGCACTGCAGAGTCTCAGACCCTGAGTTCTCGGCTCAACTTGCTGTCATCCGTGGCTTCGTGAGAAGGTCAAAGCGGGGGTGCCTGTTGATCCCGCGCGTAACCATTCTCGACACCGTTTGGGCCATTCTTCGCCTACTAACTAGCACAAAATCTCAAGACCCGAGTTTGAGTTTGATCTTGCCACTAGCAATCCCGTGCTGTCCACGTGGTCGTAGGACGGCTTTGACGATTCTCCCCACCACCAACTCTGCGGATCGACATCGAACCCCAAGCCACCAATTTCCCTTGCGGGTGAGCGTGATACACTAGCTAGTTCTGGCCAACACTGAGAGATGCGGAATGGCAGTCGAGGGGATAGTGATGCCAAGTCTCGGAGCCATGTTGAAGCCCCTTACCGTTTCCCACCCCACGGGAACGGCACAACTTTGCAAATCCGACATCACATGCTCCATCGTCTTCACCATCGCGTATTCAAGGGGTCTGATGGAATCTCAAGGTTACGCTAGGCCCTTGTTCGCCAGGACTTGCTGTTCAGCTAGACTGGGATATTGTAACCCGCTGGGGCAGCCAAGACGGATTAGAGCAATACACGCCTTGCCAGATGTTACTTGGGATGAATATAAGTTTACGACCATGCGGCCTATTTCGTACTTGGCCTTGCCCCGGAGCCTCATCCGTATATCCTCGTGGAAGCCACGCGGTCTGCGAGACGGCGGAAGAGTTTGCAGTCCCCTAGCCCGGCCCTACATCCGTTGTTATACGAGTCAGCCACTTTGGACGCCATGTTGATCTATAGCCTATCCGTCTCCCTTCTTTGGGCAGCCTTTGCTCTGGCGTCGCCCACGGGGACTCCTGAGCGCCGTGGTGCCAGGACGGCTACCGCCGTTGTCCCGGCCGGGACGATATTGGGAAATGTGCAGAACGGTGTCGAATCATTTGGTGGCATCCCATATGCAAAACCTCCTCTTGGTCCATTGCGGATGAAGCCCCCAGTGCGTCGAACCGAGTCTTTGGGTGTCTTTGATGCCACCGGCCCTGCCGGGGCTTGCCCCCAGCACGCGGCTTCAACCGAGAGCAAGAATTTCCTTCTCAACACCCTTGGATCGATTGCGAATCTCCCATTTGTTCAGAATGTCACTGGACAGTCTGAAGATTGCCTAACAATTACTGTTGCCCGCCCCGAGGGCACAACTGCTGGAGCCAAGCTACCGGTCCTCTTCTGGATCTTTGGCGGCGGCTTCGAAGTAAGTCTCTGCGAAAGAACAAAAAGAGGAAACGGAAATGTTGCTTTGCAATTTCAAACTAACACGTGGATTTTCACCAGATTGGGTGGACATCGATGTACGACGGCACGAGTCTCATCAACCATGCCAGGTCCATCAACCAGCCATTCGTTTTCGTCGCGGTTCAGTACCGTGTTGCAGGATACGGGTTCATGCCAGGCAAGGAAATCATGGCCGAGGGCTCCGGAAACGCCGGTCTGCTCGATCAGCGCATGGGCCTGGAGTGGGTTGCAGACAACATCGCTGCCTTTGGAGGCGACCCCGACAAGGTGACCATCTGGGGCGAGTCGGCCGGCGCCATCTCGGTGCTCAGTCAGATGATTCTCTACGACGGCAACAACACGTACAAGGGGAAGCCGTTGTTCCGCGGAGCCATCATGAACTCTGGGAGTGTCGTTCCCACAAACCCCCTGGACTCCCCCAAGGCGCAGGCAGTGTTTGACAAGGTCGTCCAGACCGGAGGCTGCGGAAACGCCGCAGACAAGTTGGGATGCCTCCGAGCCCTGAGCTCTACAGACTTCCTGAACGCCGTAACCTCGGTGCCCGGCATCCTGTCGTACGAGTCTCTTGCGCTGTCCTATCTGCCCCGTCCGGACGGCAAAGCCATCACCCTGTCGCCAGACGCCCTGATTCGGGCTGGAAAGTACGCGCCTGTCCCCATCATCATTGGCGACCAGGAGGACGAAGGCACCTTGTTCGGTCTCTTCCAGCCCAACCTTACCACCACCAGGGGCTTTGCCGACTACCTGAGGTCGTACTATTTCCCCGGCGCAACCACAGATCAACTAGTACAACTGGTGGAAACGTACGGAAGCGGCCTCTCTGCCGTAACCAATGGTAGCCCGTTCAACACGGGACTCCTCAACGATATAACCCCGGGCTTCAAGCGCCGGGCAGCCGTACTGGGGGATCTGGTCTTCACGCTTACTCGACGCATGTTCCTGACAGGGGCGAGTTCGGCCTACCCAAAGGTTCCGTCGTGGTCATACCTGGCCTCCTACGACAAGGGGACTCCCGTCATGGGCACTTTTCACGCTTCGGATCTTCTCCAGGTGTTTTACGGCGTCAACGACAACTATGCCGCCAACAGCATTCGCACGTACTACTCCAACTTTGTGTACAACCTGGATCCCAATGTCGGAGTGTCTGGCAAGTATCCAGACTGGCCGCTTTGGTCAGAGGAGAACAACTTGGCTCACTTCTTTGCCGACAAGTCGACGCTGCTCAAGGACGATTTTAGGCAGGCGTCGTTTGAGTGGATTACAAACCACATTGAAGCGCTACGATTCTAGTACTTTTATCTTGAAATTTGCGTATATATCTTGAATGTGACTGATGTTGAACTACCTATCTATAAGAGCCCGTTTGTCGCGTGCCTCAATCTCCCAGCATCTTCAAATGCAGCAATACTTCCTAGAGCAGTAATGACATAGACTATATGTGTATCTTGGACTGGGTCCCCGCGCAACAGCACAAGATCTGCTCGCTTTCCGGCTGCGACAATACTGCAGCCATTCTGCCCAAAATGAAATCATCTTCTCGACTGGCAGCATGGCCATGTCCAGCGCCATTGCCACGCCATAATTGGTCGTTGCCCAAGATGGCCGTCGCCATGTAAATGTACGTGTGAGTCGACGAGTCCGGGCATTGAGACGCCCCCGGCGAATCACCAATGACATCGTCATCGATGACGACCGTTTTCGGGCTGGTTATTTCGGTGCAGTTGAAGACGTGGACGTTTCCGACGACCGTTTTTCTGGTTGGGGGCATTAGGGGAGTTTGATGAAAGCTGGGCAAGACGAGTAAAGCGAGGCGGTCTAGCCTAACAGAAACAGGCTGGCCATCCGGAATCAACTGAAGAACTGTTCAGTCTTGAATGCAGAACCATGAATTAGCATAAGTGAGTCGTGAATCAACGAGATAATGTTCAGGTGAGGGCGGCATCATTCATGAGATTGGAAGTTCTCGACGAGAATGGACGCAGTTGCCACGGCACGAGCATCGCAGAAAGAAAGCACCATGGTCGCTCCCAGCAGGCCACAGGATGTCCCAACTCGAATCTACGACGAACGATACTTCAATGTTGTATCTCCCAATCAGACGCTGCGTAGGGTTGCAACGCTCGAGGCTCTGGGGCGAGGCGTGTCCGTACGAGCAAGCGCCCGCCCGAGACAAGGATTCATTTCTGCCGGTGCCTCACCTACCAAGTCTAAATACTTGAAGCGAAAAAGGTGAGATGACAGACTTTTGGTTGAGAAGCATGCATAGATGGGTTGTGGAAGATGCAGGGACCATGTTCATACGGGAGCACCCATGGCCCTCGGCGTGATGGGAAACACGTGGCCGCGGATAAAGTAGTCATTCGTTTAGCTACCGTAGAACTTCTTGTCATGGACACTGCGAAACGTGCACAAGTAGGGCAGCCATCCATGCTGATCTAGTGCCACTTTGTGGCGTCTTCCCGATGAGGCATCTTGTCGTAGTACTTTCCCATGCCCGACATCTCTCACCTACTGAGTAACTACTCCCCTTGGTGCCCTCTCCTACTTAAGTAGTTGAAACAGTTTTGAGGCGCCAATTTCGTTTCCACTGGATTCCGCATTCCGTCCCACTCGGCGGTTGTAGCATCACCACTTGCGCCGTGTCTCGAAGCATCGAGCATCCTTTTATGCGCAAAAGACAGCAAAGCATTCCGTTCTAGACACGATGCAGGGTCGTACAACTTGTTTCAACAGCTCGAACTGAGAATGGCGTGGCGGCAGTTCTTCTCTGCGCCCGAGTTGGTCTGGAAATAACTCAACATTATGCGCGGCCACCACCATCCACCGGCCCCAGCCAGAGGTTGTGTCCGCCCGTGTATGTCGTCCCGTACATGGCAGTGGCCGCGTGGCAAATCGCGGAGCCTGCATACACAAGTTCGTCCGACCCGGAGAAGAGGCTGGGGTCATATCAAGGTGGCCGTTCCGGAACTCGGAACCCCTGACGCCCATGTTTTTTCCATCTGCAGGCACACGCAACTAGGCAGGTGGGATGTTTCCCCGCATGGAAACCCCACGAGTATCAGACTTGGCCCCTGCCGTCACAGGTTTTGTCCCATGTCCAAGTTGAATCGGGCTGTGGCTTGCTGGGTGCGTTATCAACACAACCGGGCTGGTCCACCCGTAGATGGTGAGCCGGCAGATGCGACCCAGGTTGTTGCGTAAATAGTCTGGTACTTTCTCGCCAACCATTGCTGGGCCCGCGAATTGATAACAGCCATTGCTAGTGTCGGAATAGCATTCCGTCCGATAAAGCGTCGCCGGTACGCCCATGTTGCTCTTTCTGGCTCTGCCGGCATTCGGAATTTCGGAAGGGGGGAGGATTCCCCGCAGGATTATCAGCATTTATATATTGCTGCGGAGATTCGGAGCAGGCAGCGAGCAAACTGACACGAGATTCTGCTCTTGCGACCCCAATGGCTTCGCATCAATCCACCGCTGGCCTCGAAAACGCCACCGCCTACATCAATGGCCGCGTGTTTACCGTCGACGAGAGTCAGCCGTGGGCCGAGGCCTTCATCGTGTCGGCCGCGGGCGTCTTTGCCCTCGTAGGCTCGACGGAAGCCGTCCTGGCCGCCGCTCGCGAGAGCAACATTGTCGTGCATGATTTGCAGTCACGCTTCGTCATGCCGGGGATACACGACGCCCATGTGCATCTTCTGGCGGCCGGCCTCTCTCATTTCAGCAACATCCACCTTGGCCTGGACGAAATCATCCCCATGTCTGAGGCGACAGCCAAGCTCAGGAGCTCTGCATGCGGCTGTGAGTATGCTCACGCCTTTGGCCGGTAAGCGTTTCCGGGAGGATGCCGTCTGAAGGGGAGGTGAAGCCCCCGGAGGGAGACGATGATGACGACCTGGAGAGTAAGAGTTGCGAAGGGAGCATCGCAGAGTATTTCTAACACAAGGCTAGATGGCTGAGCGCAGATGTCTTCCGCATCAAGGACTTTGACCGTTCCGTCCTTGACGAGGAGTACCCCGACACGCCCGTCATCATCCGGGCCGGCGCCGGCCACAGTCTGCATCTCAACACGGCGGCCCTGCGCGAGTCCGGCTACGACCTCGTCAACGAGTCGTATCCAAACGGCGCGTACGTTGGGCGCCGACCCGACGGAACCCTCAACGGCGAGGTCGCCGAGCTCGCCACCACCAAGGCTCTTCTCGCCTGTCCCAAGCCTTCCGTCGCCCACGCGAAGCGCGCGCTCAAGTACGCCGTCCGGCGCTTGCACCAGGCCGGCGTGACGTCTTGCCAGGAGGCCGCCACCAACACGCTCATGCTCACCACGCTGCGCGACATGGACAAGGACAACCAGCTGCCCCTGGACACGTATACACACATAGTGTACGCCCCGGAGTTTATCGCCGAAGAGTCCCAGCCCGAACTGATTCAGCTGCTTGACCGAGCCGGGTCGCTAAAGACTCGACACGTGGACACGCGCTTCGTCAAGATCATACTTGACGGCGTCCCCTTGGACCCTTACTTTACGCAGGCGGGCCTGGATAAAGACGGCAATGTAGAAAGAGAAAAGCTCTTTCTGCACGACCTGGAGGACGCCGTCATTCGCTATGATCAGAGGGGAATGACGTGCAAGATTCACTGCACGGGCGAGGGCGCGACCCGACTGGCCTTGGACGCCATTGAGGCCGCGAGACTACGGAATCCAAACGGGCCAAGACACGAGATTGCACACTGCTCCGGGGTGCATCCAGGTATGTCGAGCTCTTCCGCCGTCTCTTGTGTCGTCATTTCCGTTCCAGAGGACATGTTTTATTCGAGTCCCAACCTGCTCTGACTAGCTACACGTAACTAACCCGGCCATGTAGACGAGTACCCTCGATTTCGTCGGCTGAATACCACTGCCGAAATGTCACCGTCCGTCTTCTTCTGTCAGTCGTTTAGCCCAGAAGAGGATGTCCTGCAGGACTGGAACTTTCCGCTGATGCTCCGCCACAACGCGCACATCTCGATTGGCTCAGACTGGGGTGTCCCCGAGTCTCCGGACCTGCTCCCGGGCGTAGAGGGCATCGTTGAGGCTGTGGGGTCTGGCGACCGAGGCAAAGGGGCCAAGATGGTGCTGCGCATGATGACCTTGTCCGGCGCCGAAGCCGTAGGGCGGGAGAAGGAGACGGGGAGCATCCAGACGGGCAAGCGTGCCAACTTTATCGAGCTTGACCGCGACCTTAGCCTAGGAGAGCAAGGCGCATTCAAGGATGCCAAGGTTCGAAGGACTTGGTTTGAGGGGGAGCTTGTTTACACTGCGTCGAGTTGAACTATGGTGTGGATATTTGTACAAAGACCTGGCTTGACACCAGGGAATATATCGAAATGCTAGCCCTTTGATTGAGGTCAGGGGGTTTTCCACAATTCAGAGTATGAGAGTTTTCAAAAGGAGCAATTCATCAACACAAGCAAGCAAAATATGCTAAAAGAGAAGCATGTGGCCTTTCGCATACCACCATGTATCAGTTTGCACCCATGGCAACAAACCCATGCACACCCTATAACCGCCACGTTCGTATGTAGATGGGTCGAGTTGCAATCATATCACAGTAGTATTGCCTATGATTATATCATAATGCCTGCAACTTTGTGTTGCTGTTCATACTTGGAAACTAATAGTCGAAACCGTTACGAGGACAGAATAAGTTGAAACGGAAAGCTGAAAAACGATTTAATTACCCGAGTTTTGAAAAATAGCCATCAACAAACTCGTAAAATCAATTCTAAAGTCCCGCCTTTCAAACCTATAACTAGCGGGGAGACGCGTCTCAACAAAAGGGCTATGTGGCAATACACGGTTGGGGAAGATCATTCGAAAGCTTATATTCCAATATTCCACGTCAATTGTTTCTGTGTCGTACCTTTTCATGCGGCATTCAATCTCCTCGAATTGTCGACTTGTGAGCAGCTCTGCCTGGCTTTCCCCTGGTTTGTCCGAATAGTGACATTCAACCAAACCCCCCTTGACTTGCGAAACATCTTCCAACGCATGGCTGTAGCACGAGTGATTAAAGCGGTCGGATCCCTTGGCGACCGGACATGTCCAACTAAAGTTATTGCTGCGAGCGCCCTGTTGGTCAGCCGCCTAGTGGGAGTGTACGTTAATATATGGGTGGCCTTTCTTCGAAGCCAACGTTCCAGAGTCTGAAAAGTTCTTCAAGCTAGCAGGGTCAGTATGTGGCGGCACAAACGCATCATGATCCCTGTTACACGAGCGAAAATCCGGCACAAGAATGACATTCGTGAAACTCGACAGAGGCCATCTGGCCCCGAAAGCTTCCGAGACTAAGCCTTCCTGCGGCAGAGCCATCAGATATGAACCCTGATATGGACGTCGGTCGTACACCCATTTGGGTCTCCCCCGACCGGTATGACGTCGCCCACGCCATAGTAAAGGTCTTTGGCTGTAGAAATGAGAACAATGCAAATTGGCTCGATAATGGCGTTTGTATCGGCTCATTTGTTCCGACGCCGACTGAAACGGTTCACCAGCTCCCAGGCCAAACACGGGACGAATAGTATTTGGAAGGGTAATAGTATTAACACTGTATTTTGCTTTAATTTGGGCAATTGTGTGTGAAAGCGGAACAACATGACCGTGACCTAGATTGTTCTCGGCCACGACTTGTCCGTAGACTTCAAATGTTTGTTGATCTACGACGACTGAGACGCAGTCCTCGAGGAAAATCCCTACAAGAGACTACGTTCAGAGAGATTATTGAGTAACAAGACACAGGAGCTATTGCTCACTTACCGGGGCCCTTATCTGAAATGATGATCCATGTCTCGACAAGGGCTTTCCAGGCAACGACCCAATGTAGCTACCTGCTGCAAGTAGCCTGCCTGGTTGTACCCCAGCCCTTCCGGATATCAAGTAGACCAGAGTTGCGTAGCGGTAGGAGGACCTTGCACCGTTTGGAGGAGGATTGGAGATTCATCGTCTCGAACGTCGCTATTGGGGCTCAAACACGCCCATTCCAAATTTGGCATCGAAGGGTGCAATTCGGCAGCTGTTTTGGTTCGTTCATCTGATCCGGAGGAGTTTATGGACTGAGCGGCATCGGCACCATCAACGGGTCTAGTCCCAAGAACATTCTGGCATGACCCAAAACTCTCAGTCGCGGCAGGGTCGGTGTCTTCAAATATACACAGCCAAGGTTCTTGTCCATCCGTCCTTCACGTTGGTCGTCGCTGTCATTGAACAATGGGTCACTTGCGTATTCCTGGCTTATGGCTTGTAGCCAATGGTGAGGACTGCTCGGAGGCTGCTCACCGACCACATCATCGTCCCCGAAGAGATAGTCTACAGTAGGAAGTCGGTCATTGCCATCAATTTGGAGTGTTGGTCCAATTGTTGCGCAGTGCTCTTGGTGCTTCATCAAGGATTCGCACATGGTAGCACTTGATGAATCAGAGGGCTAATAAAATAGCCTGAACATGGGCTTTGATGATTTATTGTCAAGAAACAGCCTGGGTCGTGTCGATGTCTGTTCTTGAGTCGTCATCGGCAGAAGAACCGGAACTGATAGGGCATGTCTTTGAAGCACACAGCTCAATAAAGTTTCCATAATATGCCAACAGGGCCCATTGAAGCATATCTGAACTGTTTTCGGTGTTTTTCTGTGCCAAGGGTTGGAAACTGGCATTGTCAGGAGAAGTTGTGCTTTTGCGCATGGGAGCTTGCCCGTTATCCTCACTTAAAATCGGCTGGTGAAGGATGGCTACATTGCTTTTGGCGCCCACGTGGTTTTGGTGGCAAATCAACATTTTCTTTTGATCCGCCCTGTTCTCTTCAACGAATCGTGTAAGCGTCGAGTCTGGGAATACGTCTCCAGGGCCGAAACCGAAGTAGGTCATGACTTGCACTACAGCAAGTCTCGAACCTCGTTCCAAGCCTTGACATATTGAACACTTGTCACGCTGGCTTCCTTGGGCGGACTTGCATTGTGTGACATACACACTTGGACAGCCTTGTTTCAAGCAAGGATAGTGGTATGCAAACTAGCAGACAAAACGAGCGTTTTATTATCCATACCATGTATATCCAAAAGAAGGTCCCATCCCTCAACTTTCCAATGTGGCATGCACCCAACCCTGTTCCATTTCCATCGTCATATACAGTCATCTCAAGACTGCAGCCAACCAGACGCTAAAAGAATGTATTTCGATCCAACCAGAGGAAATTTTATACCTCTTCTTTAAGAATCCCATGGGTATAAGCATCTAGGTAGATGCGGGGCTGGTTGCGAGCGTAATAGATTAGTCTCTTGGTAGCAAGTATGATGAAATGGACCACTCACGACGACGGATCGAGGGCTTCTTCAAACAACATTGTTGGAATTCGTCAAACCCTAGTTCTTCTACTCATGGGCAGACTTCCTGATCAGTTTATCGGGGGTGGGAAGATCTGAAAGACCTGGGATTATGTTGTCCAACCCGAACAAAGGCCAGGCCGAGGCGGTAACAGCGAAAACAAGCAAATTCGCAAGACGCATGGTGCTTAAATTCTGAGGGCGAAATGTTTCAAAGAAGAAGGACAATTGTTGGGTATTCTGGTCGGAGAAGGAAATATTGATGGAGATGACTGGCTTCTGGTCAGACAGCCATGCCCTTATTTATATGACGAGGAAGGACATTCGATTTCAACATCAGATTGCGAAAGCTCTCCCACCCTAGTGCTCTGCTCTGCTCGCTTGCACCAACTGTCCATTGTGTCTGACTCGGCTTTTGTAATGAAGCGCGTGACAGCTGATGCCTCCATTCAGCGCTCCATCCCACATGGCCAGCAAACAATGCTCGAGATCTCGGACAAGCAAGGAGAATATACAAAGGCTACAAAGGAGTTTTTTTACAAGCCTCGGGCACGTGGTGAAATTTTTCAAGCCTTGCAAGCAAATCGGCCGCCGCTTCTTCCCGCCGCATCTCAATGACAAGCTTCCGGCACGGTCCATGGCTCGATTCAGCTTGGCACATCCCGACGTCTTTGTTTTTCTGAATCCAAAACACTTTGCGTAAGAAACTCTGGTCACCCGAGCAAACTGGCGTCGTCCTTGGATCCTACTCGGTCGCTTCTTTCAGTTCGAAATGACAGGCCGAGAACATCCAAAGGAGACATTTGAGAAATCGCCCCTACAACTGCCATGTGAGAAGGGAAGAAATGCATTATTTTAGATCTTTATTACGCGATTGGGGCTGTGTGTCTATCCCTTCGTGAAAGACGGGGAAAGCGGAAGGGGATGGGTAACGTTGAACAAGCACAAGATGTGCATGCGACAAGACACGACAGCGTGTATTGTGTCCAAAGACTTGACGATCTGGCATGTTGGACCATGCCAACTATTCGACTATAATGATAATATGCATGATTAAGCCCCACAAAAGCTCGTGAATGTCAGTCCGAGAGTTGTGCCCAGTTTTGGTGAGTTTACAACTCTTTACACACTTGTCTTGTTTGGCAACAGCAAGAGCCGAGGCCGTGTTGATGGAAGCAAAGTGGACGTCATGTAGCATGTTGTATATTGAGTTATTGGTACGTAGATGTCTAGTGCGAGTCGTCCGTTTGTCATGCGCCGCTGATGGAGGCGGCCATCCCAGTCTCCACACTTCGGCATTCTTTCGTAGGCCGAGATGCGCCGCATTTGTAAGAGGCTTCCCAATCACCGCGATGCGCGTTACATGAGCAGGCATAGGTTTGCTACGTGAGAAGGACAAAAAGGCAGAGTATAAAGGATGAGGGCAACGGCGTGGGCAGCAGCGCTCGTCTGAGCCCATATTCTTCGCCCTCCCCCTCCATCCGCTCTTCCACGTCGCACACCAGACACTCGATCGCGACACGATCCGACCAAAACAGCCATGTCGCGCGCGCTGCTGATAACAGGAGCCACCGGCAAACAGGGCGGCAGCGTCATCACGGCCCTGCTCGCCAAAAACGCCGACTTTCAAATCCTCGCAGTCACCAGGAACACAACCTCGCCCGCAGCAAAGAAACTGGCTGCTGCGTCTCCCAAGGTCACACTCATCCAAGGAAACCTGGACGACACCGAGGCCATTTTCGAGAATGCCCAAAAGGCTACCGAGGCGCCCATATGGGGGGTCTTTAGTGTCCAGGTACGACACGCAGAGCAAAACGAAACAATGCCGACTTTTGCTAACCCGCTCAGTTGGCCGCAATGAACAGATCCGGCCCCCTCGTCGAGGAAGCTCAGGGCAAGTCGCTCATCGACTCGGCCATCAAGCACGGCGTAAAGCACTTTGTCTACACATCCGTGGATCGCCACGGCGCCAGGTCCATCGACAACCCTACCGATATCCCGCACTTCAAGAGCAAGCACCACATCGAGCATCATCTCATCGACAAGGCGCAGAACACCACCATGACGTGGACAATCCTCAGACCGGTGGCCTTCATGGAGAACTTTGCGCCGGGGTTCATCGGCAAGCTTTTCGCAACGGCTTGGCGGGACGCGATCAAGTCCCGCCCGCTCCAGCTCATATCGACCGATGACATTGGCACCTTTGCCGCGCTGTCCTTCCTGGAGCCCGAGCGATTCGCGGGCAAGAGCATCTCGCTGGCGGGGGATGAGTTGTCGTATGCGCAGGTGGAAAAGGTCTTTACGGAAAAGACGGGCGCGCCTCCGCCGACGACGTTTGGGTTTATCGCCTGGCTTGTTTTGCGGCTCTCGGTCGAGCTGAGGACCATGTTCAACTTTTTTGACGCCGAGGGCTATGGTGCAGACATCGCGGCTGTTCGGGAGATGAACCCCGACGTCAAGGACTTTGGCCGCTGGCTGGAGGGGAGTGCGTTTGTCAAACCGAAACGAGAATGAGGTTGTGTGGTCGCATGTCCAGTATGTCCCGGTCAGAGTTTAACATGGTGCGTGAATAATGATGATATTATTACACCTTACCGAGATGAATAGCAGTTCTTGAGTGAAAAACTACCAACACTCGGGAGACGCTCACCTCTTTATGGCTACATGTGTACTTGTCACGGGCACGCGTACGGGCACTGTCCCATCTGCACAGATAAGTAGATGTAGGAGGCATAGAGCACATGTCTACCTCAGACAAGGTCCAGCTGCAGGGTGCTTTTTCGAGTCGACATTTGGTATGAGTCCGTAGAGGCCGCCTAAAGCACTCGGTAGATTCAAACCATGCTCCGAACACATGACACCGAATCACACAATGTCCAATCTCTCAAGTCTTGCGATTGGATGCGTAATTGTTATCTCACCGGGCCGCTGCCGGTGCGCTTATGCGTTGACCTACACAAAGCCGAGGCTGGTCAAGGCCTGACGCAGACTGGCGTGTGGTTGATCCCCTTGATCAAGCGCCATTATCGATATCAACGTGCAATTATGTACTTTAGCTGTAAGTAGTCTCAGCTAATCATCTCAGAGATTCCGGGACTAGGTATGCAACTTGCTGTCTCTTCCAATAGACGCATGGGCTCTTTGCATTGCCGGAATTGTTCTCACATCATTCTGTTCGACAGTCGAAACCCTCATCCTGGCCCAGGGTGTAGCCTACGGTGTCGCCTTCCTCATCTTCTACTACTCTGTTGCAAGCATGGTCAACGAACTCTGAATCGCCCGTCGAGGAATGGCGTACGACTCAAATGTTCAAATGTAAAACGTGGTGAAGTGAAAGTTCCAACAATCAACAGATCCAGATCAGTCCACTAGGCCCGATGTGGCTAAGTGTCCCGTCCCAAAGAGGCCAAGGCCCAGTTGACATCCGAGATTTGGTTCGCAACCAAGACATGTCAACATGCTTTGACCCCACGCTGCCTCTCCCTCCACCAAGTCGGCGCGTCGCGACCTGCATCTTTTTCCTCATTCTTTTGCCTGCGCATCATCAAAATTCGCGCCACCGCAGCATTGCATCATCCAAACCATCAATCTGAGGGGGCTTTCATGTCCATCTTGGCTGCTACAAATACATCTCGCTCGCAATATAGCCCGTCAGAGCTCTCGGCGCAAATCATCGCATTCGTCTGCCCTTTGCGACAAGCGACGGTCATACACGGGCATCTTCATACCAAATGCGCTGAACGACTCCCTTGGCGGCCTAATTCTTACGCATCATGGCCGACTGGGCTAAGCTCAAGGTCGTCGACCTCAAAGCCGAACTGAAGCGACGAGGTCTTCCTCAGGGAGGGTTGAAGACAGAGCTTGTTGCGCGACTGGAAGAGGCTGATCAAGAAACCAAGGAAGAGGAACCGGAGCCGGAGCCGGAGCCGGAGCCGGAGCCGCATACTGAAAAGCAGATGAATCATGAGGCGCCGGCAGCCGAGTCCGAGTCTTTGCAGCCTGTCAATGGCGATGCCGCCAGTCAGGCAGAAGAGGAACAGGAGGTGCAGGGGCAGACCAAGGATGGACAATCCGTCACACGGGATGCGCCAGAAGTCGAACCAGAGCAAACACCCCCTCAACCCCCGGCGACGACACAAGAGCCGAGTCCTGCACCAGCACAAAAGGAAGAATCACAGCCCGAACCAAGCCCTCCGTCTCGAGACCCTCGGCCCGCAGATGGCGACGCTCCCATGGATGAACAGCCCATCCAAGACCCGGCCGTCGAAGCTTCAGCCGAAGCGCAAAAGCGCAAACGACGCTCTGCCAGTCCCACCCCCAAAGAGGAAGATGTTGCCAGAAAACGGGCGCGAGCAGACACCGGGCTTGCTCCTAGGTCATATCAAAACCATTTCCCGGCCGAGGCCCGCGATGCCCCAGAGGCAGAGGTAGACTACGACCGACACGTCGAACCCTCGATGCACCCGGCCACCTCAGCCCTCTGCATCAACAACCTCATGCGACCTCTTCGACCGGCTGAGCTCCGTGCACACATAGTCGCCCTCGCTTCCGCGCCCGGCACAGGCTCCACCGACGACATTGTCACCAAGTTCTACCTCGACTTCATTCGCACTCACGCCTTTGTGGCACTAGAATCCGTATCAGCTGCCTCACGTGTTCGCCAGCTTCTGCACGGCCGTGTTTGGCCCAACGAAAGCAACCGCAAGGCACTGTCGATCGACTTCATACCACCCGAAAAGATAGATTCCTGGATCGACATGGAAGAACAAGGTGGCAGACGGCCCAGTCATCGATGGGAAGTCGTCTACGCCCCCACCGGAGACGGGAGCACCATTGAAGCAAACCTCGTCTCAAACCCAGTTTCTTCGTCATCCAGCAATCGTCCCCCTCCGCCCACGAACCCCCCATCCGTGGCAACATCAGCGCCGGCGCCAGCACCAGACAGCATCAACTCTGCCCCTCTCGGACCCAGAGGCACCTTCACAGACTCGGCTCCACCAACTGGTCCCCGTGGTCCTCGACGCCAGCAGCCACCACCTGCACCGCATCCCCCGTCCGGCGAGGCACAATTCACCCGTGCCCGCCCAAGTGTAGCATACCATCTCGTGCCAGAGGATCTTGCCCGTCGCCGCGTCCAAAACATGCGCGCCTTTTACACGCGCGACCTGAACCGAGACTTGGGCCGCGAAATCAACAGGTACTCGTTTGAAGATTCAGACTCGTTTGTCGACCGAGGCCGTGAAATCTTTGAGGGCATCCGTCCGCCTCACAGGGAGAGAGGCGGTCGCGGCGGTGGACGAGGCAGAGGCCCCGGGAGATCCAGAGGTGGTTTCCGCCCGAGAAGTGATCGGTATATTCCCGGCGCAAGAGGCAGGGACGAAGACGACCGCCGCCGGTTCTAGGAACAATCCGCGTAGACCTCTTTACTTGCAAAACGGAGTATATCCCTAATATCCAACTGTGGAGGTTCTCCCAAACAGCCATCTCAAGTCATCAGGCACAATGTACAACAAAACCGGTTAATAACGCCGTCCAGAGGCGGTCAGGAAAGGAGGCCATTTGATGCCCAATCGATGAAGTTACAAAAATGTATTGTACCATAGAGCGCAGGCGAAATTAGCCAGCAACACTAAATACCAGAATATACACCCCCCAAAAAACCCACACCACTCTTGTGTCCCGTCTCCCAATGAAACAAACCAAGTCAGTAATCCTCCAGCCGAGAAACCACCTACGAAGCATCAAAGCAATGGACCGATTCCGTCGTAAGATCCCTCCACAAGTCCCCGACGCTTCTCGACATGTAAACGCTCGCACCCGCGCAATTCACCTTGCTATTTCCCCCCCTTTAGCCATCTACTCGGACCGCCGGACCAGACAGCAAAGCTCACCTGTAGGCATAACAAAACGTCCGACTCCGCAGCTTGATGCTCTCAACCCTGAACCCACTGCACGAGGAAGTCAGCAGAAAAGCCAAACTGGTTCCGAAATTATAAACAGGCCTCATCGATCGGCAGTACATACGCGGCGTCGACGTTGACGCACCCGAACCCGAGGACGTTTCTCGACAACCCCCCGAAATCAGGCTGGCTGTACACCGTGGCCTTGATTCCATAAGTACCGGGTATCCATTTTGTGCGCGGCAAGATTTTCCAACGTACCGAGACGACGCCCTGTGCTGCAGCGGCGGAAGCAAACAGCGGCAGGAGCAGGAGACGCATCGCTGACTATGTTTCACGGTAGATGAATGGGGGGACCTGCAAACGGGGACACGGTGAAACCTGTCTCCATTCAGGACCGAGCCGGGCTATTATACCTTTTTGGAGAGGAGGAGCTGGGAGGACGCGGGCGCTTACGCAGGTTGGCCGATTGGACGGCATGGGGAAATATTGGGAGCTGAGCCCGGTGGTTAAAAAAGGATGATGATGACTGCATTTCTCGTGCAACCCAGCGACGAGGCTGGGCGCGTTCTTCCTCTGTCGTGATGTATCCGTCCCTGCTGTCGGCAACATCCCAAGGGACTAACTAGTATCGACTGGCAACCTTGCGAAAAACAGCACCAACTATCAACTCCAGACCAACCTTGACCGACCAATGGCAAAATACAAAATCTCCAAACTTGGAATGGTCAACCCAGCGTTGAACCGCTCACAGGCCCTTGTTGGCCCAAGAACCTCGGCCTATTTCTCAGACTGCCAGTACCAAGTACCTGGTTATGATTCGCTGAGGCCCGAGCTGAATAAGATGGCTTTTAGTTGGAAAATATTACAAACACCACGACGACCTCTTGAAGCTATAGATTTTGTCATTTACTGGGTGCGGCTGTGCCTTGCATCTGCCGTCAAACAAATCGTGCCGAGACAGTCGCGGAAACCACACACCACTCATTCTCTAGTGCCGACCATATGATCGTTGTACTTAGTTGTATTGATTTCATGATAATCTGCCTAGTAGACACGCAGCCAAAACGCAAATCAAAGCGCCATTCCTTTACAACCCAAGACCTGCGACCAACGTCGGCTTTACGCGGCGCTGGCAAGAGGTACGGGCTCAACACCAACACGTTCTCGACTCAGTATATCCAGCATAAATTGGCTGGGGCGGTTGTCCCTATACTCGAGTGCCTTGCTTTTTGCAAGACGGACATTATCCAGGTATTTTTCAAAGAGGTACGAGCTGTCCATTGGACCACCCTTGGCTTCCGGATGGAATTGAGTAGAAAAGATGGGTCGAGTCTTGTGCAACATACCCTCGTTACTTCCGTCGTTGAGGTTGACAAAGTACTCCTTGAATTCGCTGGGCAGAGTGCTGGCGTCAATGGCATAACCATGGTTCTGGCTGGTAATGTGGCATTGTCCAGTGGTCAAGTCCAGGGCAGGAATGTTATGGGCGCGGTTGCCATACTTGAGTTTGATGGTACGGGCACCAACGGCAAGGGCCAGGAGCTGGTGGCCAAGACAGATGCCCATGATGGGGATGGAAGAAGTTTCCATCAGACGGGCCAAGTTGTAGACAGTCTCCTGGCAGTGAGTTGGGTCGCCGGGCCCGTTGGAGATGAAGACGCCATCGTAATGCTGGGCAACCTTGTGGATGGGGTAATTATAAGGGAAGACGGTGACAGAAGCACCACGGCTAACCAAGCTTCGGAGAATGTTCTCCTTGACACCACAATCAATAAGAGCAATGTGGAGCGAAGCACCGGGAGACTCGACCACAAAGGGAGCCTTGGTGCTCACACGCTTGACCAGGTTGATCTGGCCAGGATCGATGAAGCTCTCGTCTTCGTCGGCGTCATATTCTTCGCCAATGGAAATTCTAGCAAGCGAAGAACCCTGTTCTCGGAGGAAAGTGACAATCTCACGAGTATCGACGCCAGAAATGGCAGGGACACCCTCACGGGCACACCACTCGCCCAGACTCTCGACAGCAGTCCAATGGCTGTAGTTGAGAGCCACATCAGAAACGACAACGCCAGCACACTGAATGTGAGGTGACTCAAAATGCTTGAGAAGATTGTACTGGTCTCGCTCGTTGGAGGGCACTCCGTAGTTGCCAATGAGCGGCTGGGTAAAAACGAGAATCTGACCACGGTACGAAGGGTCAGTCATGGACTCGGGGTAGCCGACCAGAGAGGTGGTGAAGACAGCTTCACCCGAGATGTTGGCATTGGCACCAAAAGCCGTGCCATTGAAGACAGGGCCATCCTAAGCAGGTCAGCAATCATTTGGCAAGTCTAAGACAAAAATATAGCAACATACTCGAATGGTGAAGGTAGCAGGCACCGAATCCACGGGAGCAGTGCTCTTGGTGGGCTTGGAAGGCATCTTCCTGCCAGTGCTTCCAGCGGTAGCCTGGGATATAAATCGGAGTTGGATGGCCATTCGAGGCTTCATGGCAGCCGCCGGCTTAAACGCCGGCTTGGCGAGGTTAATTGCCAGTCGAGAGAACATGGCAATTCGTAATACGGATAGTAGTTTGGATAAAGAGTGCAGCTAGAGAAAGTCGAGGTCAAGAAATGCCAATCTAGGATGACTGGGACTTCCAGAGGTGGTCTACATTGTCAAGTGTCAGTTTGGGGGTGGGGGGATGTAGCGATGACTCAAATCGGACGAACCAGACAGATAATCCTGTCAACACGGCGTCAGTATTCAAGATTCCGTCACAATTGAATTGCCATGCTCGCTGAGGGAGAGTAAACAATGGCGGCAAGCATGACGGGAAGGTATCTGTGCCAATGAGATACAGGTGCAAGGGAGAGAAAGAGTTATGCCTGCCTTGCGACAGCCGGGTGCAGCTCAACAAGACGGTGCAAACTTGGGGCGTCTAGAGAGAGGACCAGCCGATTCCGGCTACATACCTGAGAGGTGAAGACTGACGGGCGCCCGTTCATAAGGGCGGATTCAGACGCAGCTGTTCAACGGAAAAGAATCTGAGGCACAATGGCACTCTTGGGGGTAAAAGAGGTTTAAATTGGGGAGTATGCTGTCGCGGGCTTGGAAAGATGAGAGCTGGGGATTTGTCTTTGCTGACCGTTGAGGGGAAGAGGAAGGGGAAAGAAAAGAGTGGGATGGACGGCGACGCGGGCAGAGGACAGAAAAAATTGAGCCACACGGGCCAATTGCTCAATGTTCTCGTCGCTGTGAGGTGTGCCGTTGGCCGCTGCTCAAAACGCTTCCTGATTGGCCCGCCTCGGGTGCTGGCCCATGCGCCATTGGGCTGCCGGCGGTCGCTGTAACTTCCGCTGTCCAGTTGGACTTCTGGCTGCATTGGGGGAGCTGTCTGGTGAGGCCGGGGCGGCAGCGGTGGTGGGGGGAATGGAAATGCGCTTGACCGCTTTGGGGAGAGTGACCAAAGTCACTCGCCGATATCGTTTCAAAAGTTGCTGTAGCCCATGATGCCAAATCCTCGTCGACAGGGGCACATCAAGGATTCAATTGTCTTTGTGTTCCACTGCAAAGGCGTCACAGGACGCCTTGCATCGACTTTCCTCCAGTGTTGCCGCTGTTATTCGCGCCAGCAATCCACATCTCGATCCTACGGTAGCTGCAAACGCGACCTTCTTGTAGTCAGCATATGACAACTGTGGGGGTGTTTGTGTCACCGTCTACTCCAGACGGGAGGAGATGTTAGCATCATATTAGCTACCACCATGTCATACATATGTATGCATTGACACCGTCTCGGCAACTCGCTTCTGCACAAATACGCTCAGAAAGCGCGAAATTCCGAGCTGCTTGGATACTACACCATACCGGGGTAAACTTGTTGATTGGCCTGCCAAGGCAAATAACGGCGACGACCAAGTTGTCAATAGTTACGTTTCACATGCCCATCTACCGCCAATATTGCAAACGCAGCGTGACGCAATTCTAGGTCCACGTGTAGCACCATTTACAAACAAACAAGTAATTTTGGTACGGGATCTTTAGGTCTATTGTCTTGGCGCCAGCTTTACAAGTCTGGTCCTGCCAGTCGGCAGTCAGATGCTACATGTTTTAACATATCTTTTTTTGCGTTGAACCATTTACAACGCACCCAACTCTTTCAATCTACCAATCAAGCCATCAACATCCTCCACCTTGCCGCCACCCTGTCTAGGTGCAGGTTCTACAACACTCGTCAGCAATCATTGCGTCTCAATACCCTCCACAACGTAGCACTTACCCGAAACCTTGAGCACTCTGAGGCGCTTCTCGTTTTCCAATCCAAAGTCCTTCAACGTCTTCTTATCCAGCTTCTTCTTTTTAGCCTTCATGATGTTGGGCAAGCTCGCGTACCGGGGCTCGTTGAGTCTTAAATCCGTCGTAATAATCATGGGCAGCTTGGCACGAATAGTCTCAACACCACCGTCAACCTCTTTCGTCACGGTGACGCTGTCGCCCTCGCCAAAATCGATCTTGCT